TCTTTTTCTTTTTTTTCTTCTTTTTCAGTTTTCTTTCTTTTTTTTTAATTGCATTTTAGGTTTTGGGGTACATGTGAAGAACATGCAAGATTGTTGCATAGGTACACACATGGCAGTGTGGTTTTCTGCCTGTATCTGTCATTTCTCCCCATGCTATCTCTTCCCACCTTCCCACCCCCATCCCTCCCCCATTTCCCCCCAATGGACCCCAGTGTGTAGTGCTCCCCTCCCTGTGTCCATGTGTTCTCATTGTTCAACACCCGCCTATGAGTGAGAACATGCAGTGTTTGATTTTCTGCTCTTGTGTCAGTTTGCTGAGAATGATGGTTTCCAGGTCCATCCATGTCCCTACAAAGGACTTGAACTCATCGTTTTTGATGGCTGCGTAATATTCCATGGTGTATATGTACCACATTTTCCCTATCCAGTCTATCATTGTTGGGCATTTGGGTTGGTTCCAGGTCTTTGCTATTGTAAACAGTGCTGCTATGAACATTCGTGTGCATGTGTCCTTATAGTAGAATGATTTATAATTCTTTGGATATATGCCCAGTAATGGGATTGCTGGGTCAAATGGGATTTCTATTTTTGGGTCCTTGAGGAATCGCCACACTGTCTTCCACAATGGTTGAATTAATTTACATTCCCACCAACAGTGTAAAAATGTTCCTATTTAAAAGGAGCCTCATTATCAAATTATTAAAGAGAAATAATGTTAATATATGCCCAGAAAAATTTGTTAGAAAGCAAATCCCATTTACTGTAGTAACAAGAAATAAATTTGGCCAGAAATATATACCATTTATATAAGGAAAACTACAAAATTCTGAGTGACTTAAAAATCATTAAGAAGTGGATACATTTCTGGAACGATTGAAATCTAGTTTGTGAGATATCAACTCTTCCCCAGATTAGATTTGTATCAATTTTAATATGTATCCTTGTGAGATCTGGGTGTGTATGTCTGGGGAGGTGTTCCTGATCAACATTTACAAACATTGATAATACTTACAACTGAAGGTGTAAAAAGTATCATAACTGATGGTTGCAGAATTGCCCTTTCAGAAATTAAAATGATATAAAAGTAAAATAATTAAAAGTATGGCATAGGTGCTAAGAGACATGTCAAGATTGACGAAAACAGAGCAGAAAGTCTAAATGCAGGCCCATAATTTGGCATATAAAATTGTGTTATTGTATATAACAGAGTAGGGTATATTTCATTATTTTAAGTAAGATGCCTTTTGAGTGAAAGACACCATTTTACATGTCTCCAATAAAGTAAAATATGATTTCAATTTACTATGACAAGCTATTGATTATAACATGCATACTGATTTCAAAAATATTAAAATGTGGGAAAAGTATGTCATAGTTCAAACAAATATGAATACAGTATACAGTGACAATTCAGATCATCAGAGAATGAATAACTGTTCTGATGTTACAAGACTCCAATAGCAGTTGGGGGAAAAGTTAAGTTTGATTATAAGATTAAATGTAATACATTACATCTATAAAAATACTAGGGGAAATATAGGTATTATCTATAATATTAAAATGAGGAAGCCTCTTTTAAAAGCAAGGCACTATAGTTGAGTATTATAAGGATAATTATTTTGGCTCCTTAAAAAATTAAATCTTTTATACAGCAAAAATCTCTTCAAATTAAGATGACCGACAAATGAAAAGTCCAGAAACTAAAGTATTTGCAAGACAGGTGATGAAGGTATGATTTACATTTTAATAAGGCAGGATGCTAATTTTGGAGTCCATGTTATATGTGGTAGAGAGGACACAAGACTGCAGACAGGGTGTAAGCATTGACCCCCTGTTCTGCCAAAAAGCCAGGAGGAAGACTGGCTGGTAACAACATCCGATCCCTGGAATTATGGAAAAGGAAATATAACTGTTTAATTTTAGAAGCCGTCTAGTCCCTTCAGCATAATTTCCAGCGGTGCGTTCAATGCTAACTAGCTCTCTAACCTACTATGATGACGACATTTTGAGTACTTTATGAACTCTATAATAATGTTAGGTAATGCTGATATTTTACTGTCTAACTTTACTACTTCTTGATTTTCCCCTAATATGTTTTTTAATGCAGTTTTATTTTATGATTGCACTTATTAATGGGTTTTTATTAGATGGCTCTCTTTTATTTTTGGTTTTGCAATAAGCATTTCATTTTTAAATATAAGTGATTCTGATTTGGAATCTTTCTTAGTAATGCGGCATCTCAAATTTCCTGTTTTAAATTTCATGATTGTACTCCTTTTTCCGATCACTAAGGAAGAAATTGTGAAAACTCTATCTGTAATGTGCCCAGGTTTTGATGTTCTTAAACCGGGAACTCCATTTGTTATAAGCCCTCTTTTTCTTAATAACTTTTTTTAACTTTGGTATTTTTGTTTGAGATAATTAAATTTTCTGAAGAGTATTAAGAGATCAATGGGATTATCAGGAATGCTATATAAATATGGCCTCACTTTCAAAAGAAAATTAATTTATATGCCTTAATGGATGATTTGTCTGCAGTACCCATTTATTGCTGTTGTTGTTTTCCCCAGAGCTTAACTCTGTGTCCATATATCTATATCTATAATGTGGATCAATAGATGGATATACTTTAGCTGTTCTAAGCTGTATTTGTTATAGCAGAACCTTGGTATTTGTACACATAATATTCCATTTAAAGGACTTGTGAGCTATTCCATAGGTATAATTTCATAACTCTTAATATATTCATTCAGTGAATTTTGACTAAGGCATAGATTTGAACTGCTGTACAGGAGAGCTACTTGGCTAGTTCATAAGCCTCACAGACTACCTGGTATTCACATCTCAACCCCTCTGTGTTTTCTTGTCATACATGTGGTAATTCTTATGAAGTAATTTTTAAAATCTTGTTTATGAAAAAGGCTATCAAGTAGGCTATCAAGTAATTCTTATGAAGTAATTTTTAAAATCTTGTTTATGAAAAAGGCTGTCAAGTAGGATAAAACATTTGTAAATCTGAAAGGCAATTCATTGTGATGTGAGGATAAGGGCATGAAACATAACTCTCAAGGAAATGCGATTTGGGAGGTAAAAGTCTATACAAACAGTTCCATATTTGTAATTTGGAGATTCACAAAGGTTGAAGGATATAACCCCTGGTTTGTTTTTTGTGTTTTGTTATTGTTGTTGTGTTGTTCTTGTTTTTTGCCATACACAGGATACATACATTTAAGATAATGGATGCTGATTGCCATTTAGTATATGGCTTTTACTTGCAGTGTCCAAACTCATTATGTCATGTTTAAAGTTTCCTTGACTATGGAATAACTGATTACAAAAAAACACTAACTTCTGCAGCACTAATGCAAATAGATAGGCATGTAGATGTGTTTACTGTTTAAAGTACATAAACAGAGCAAAAAGGAATTCAGATCATTTATAGCATGAAAAGTAAAGAAAGTGAACATTGGTGGAGGTAAAGGGGCTTAATGTGCAACCATCTTCCAGATTCTGTGAAATCCTTTTGAGCTCCAGGAAAAATAAAGGATAATAGACTATTATAGTCTTCATGGGAAAGTAGTTACAGTCAGAGCTGTAATTCTACATTCTGTCATTAATTCAGAAAACATGTTTTTAGTTCCTACTATATGCTAGGCGTTTTGCCAGCTGAAGAAGTGGAGCTGAAAAAAATAAAATCGCTAAGCCCAAGATACTGACAGTCTAGAAAGAGAAATAGAAATAAAATTTGCCATGACACGCAAACTGATCATGTTAAGGGGGTAGAAAAATGTCTGCCTCACCTGTAAGTGGGAGGCCTCCTGGAACTCATTGTGAAGGAGGTGTAGGGATCAGCTGCGGAGGCAGGAAGGAAGGCAGTGGGGAGTAGTGCAGGCCTGTGGAAAAGCAGGAGCAGAGGTTGCGGGCAAGCAAGATGCAACCAGGGTACTGCTAGCAATTATCTGACAGGTAACATGGCAGATGAGAGTGGCCCTTGGGCCAGGCTGGGATGGGGATTGAATTTCAGACCCACACTACCAGCTAAGTGACTTTGAGCAAATGATACAACCTTTCTGAGATTCACCTTCCTTATCTGTAAAACGAGGATGGTCACATCTACCTCATAGAATTGTGAAGACTAGAGTTCGTGTGTCTACCAAAGTGTTTAGGACAATGACAATCCCACAGTGGGCACATGGTAGAAGTGTGTTATTAAATACTCAGAGACATAAGTGATAAGGACTTTAACAACACTTGGTTTACAGAGAGGTAGGTAGGTTGGGTCACCAAAGTGACCTCTGGAGGTCACTCATCAGAGAGACCATGAGGCTCAGAAACTCGTATAAGAATCAGTTCAGTTAAGATTTATCTTAATGTTGATGTAGTCTTCCATTTTTATTGACTAAGTATTTGACTTTTATTTCTAAGTAGTCATTTTTATTTGCATAATTATTTGCAATATCAAAATTTTCTGCAAATATAATTCTCTTGGACACAGAGGTGTAGATTTGAAATTTGAAACTACCTATGTCAGTTGCCTCCTTTCTGCATTCTGTTTTTTATGTAACTGTGTGTTGTTGTTGTTGTTGTTGTTTTAAACTTCTGGTTTCTCAGTAAGGAAAGGAGATCTGTGTGACCCAAAATTCTGATGTGCATCAAAATTGTTCTCTTGGCAAGTGTACAAAAATCCAATTAGTTTCCAAAGGACAAATTGTCTTTGGGGATTCAACTGATCTAAAATTCATGACGGAGTCTGGAAGAAAATAGTACTCTAGGATTTTTTTGAACACCAGCAATGTACGTTTAAGACTACGTGAAACTAGTTCTCATATAAATTCTGTTTACTTCTCTTGCTTATATTTGTGGGGGTTCATTTGTTTACTTTAGCATACCAAGCATTTTTAAGAGAAAAGTAGAAGACAATCTTTGGGTATGTACATTAAAGTCAACAAAAATTATGATAATTAACAATAACGTTTGCTCAATTGCTCTGATTGTTATAGGGGTTTGCCAACTTGTTAATAAGATGGAGGAGAATACTGGTAAGGTTAAGCCTTTCAATCGAAATGATGAACAGTTTCTGGAAGCTTTTGTCATCTTTTGTGGCTTAGGGATCCAGAACACGCAGATGTATGAAGCAGTGGAGAGAGCCATGGCCAAGCAAATGGTCACGTTGGAGGTGGGTGAAGTTTAGGGAACTCTCACTCCCTACTGCCAAACACTCAGCTTTTACCTTTCCCTCATATCACTCCTGGTGTGTGTGTGTTCTGTCATCGGGTCCTCACCAAAATTATGTGATTTAGATGATGAGACCCTTGTTATCCTCAACTAAAGAGTGAAAGAAACTTAGACTCAGAATATTTAAGAAACTTGTCAAAGGTCATATGACCAAACCACAACTCAGGATGTTTATCCCTTTAGGCCTTTGCTTTTTCTGCAAAAAGCAACATTGACTTTAATAATCCATTCACACAGATGACTACTGCCACTATAGTTTATCTGTCCCCTTCCCATTGCCTCTGCCTCCCCATCTCTCTATGAGAACAGTTGTGAAAAAAAAATTTTTTAAGAAAACAACCAGAAACCCTAGGCACTCTTGAGAGAATTAGGAGTGAGGAAGTGAGGAGAAGAAAAAAATAAAATCAACAAATAGCAAGAAGAGTTGTAACTCCTGGAATCATCTGAGAAACTATTCAAACTACAAATTTATATACCTTACTTCTGAAAGTTCTAATTCAGGAAGTCTTGGGTAGAAGCTGGAAATCTGTATGGCTACCAGGCTCCCCCAAGTGACTCTGAATGTGCAGGTAGGGAGTGAAGAAACCACTGGCTGCCAGGGATTGACCTAGTAAGGCCATTTCTCACATAGGACTGACCTATTCCAACAGGGTCAGTCCTTTCTACATATGTTTCACTAACTGCCTTGAAAATGTTCAATTGATATAACGTGGAGATTTCTTATCTAGTTGAAATTAGAGAAAATCAGTGTTTGGGATACAGTAATATTTCCTTCAATGTCTCATTAAATACATAAACTAAAGGGCTAGAGGGACATATATTATATAAAATTTACCAGATAGTACCCTTTACTTTCTATGCTGAATATATTATACTAATAGGTTTCTTTGCTGAATATATTATACTAATAAGTTTGCTATAATATTATATAAAAGGCTGCTATATTGTACTAATAGGTTTGCTATACTATTATATAAAAGACTTGAATTATAACCAGCAGAAATCTGTTTCAAGTATATATATACACATATACAGTCAAGTATATACTTCAAATATATTTTCAATTAGGTACATATGCATATGTGCATATGTGTACAAATAGCTTTACATATACATATATACATATGTACATATATCTATGTATATATATGTTTATATATTACATATATAATTTTTAATCTAATTTTTTCAGTTCCGTGGTTTTTCATTGAAAAATTGAATCTAAGTCAGCTATCAATTAGAATTTATTTCTTTTTTTTTTAATGTTTTATTATGGAAAGTTTCAAACATATACTGAAGGAGAGAGAACAGCTTAATAACCCTAACGTGCTCATCATCCATTCAGTAATTATGAACCCATAACCAGTATCAGTCCATGCATTCCCACCTCTCTCCTCTGCACTCGCCTTCCCCTCCCACTGGCTTAGTTTGAAGCAACTCCAGACATTGTATTACTTTGTTTAAAATCTCTGAATATTTTCTTGATTGAGATTTAGTTCTATCTTTACTTTATAGCTCTCCATCAGTTAAATATATGGATAATTAGGCTTTTACCTAGTATAAAATGTTTTTGATTTCAGGTCATATGTGATGTCATTTCTATGATCATAGATCTAACCTGGAAAAAAATGTTCCTTTCTTTATGAGGCCACTGGACAAAAGCCAAGGGCACAAATCCCTCAGCTCTTCAAAAGATAGTGAATTATTTTGACCTGGAAGCTGTGATCATTCTAATAACAATAAAACAATGTTGACAATAAAAACAACTAAATTTTATCTAATATTTCAATTGTATTCAAATGCTTACATGTATTAACAAAGTTAATCCTTAGGCCCCATTTGTAAGGTGCTGTTTTTATCTTTTGTGTGTAGTAAAATTATTTTTTTAACTTAGAATGTATTGTGTCATTTCTTTATGCATGTATCCATGTTTGCCCTTATTAATATTAGTCTAATTCATGGTCACAGTCTCAGCCTTTCTTGGGGACCACCACCATGGTCTCAGCAGTAACAGGTTACAGCCATGACCCATCAGTTTCACATGGGCAGGAGAGAGCAGCTCTGGTTTCCCAAGGTTTTCTAGTTATTAATGGCTCAAATGCTGAGAAAGATCCAATGTAGTACAGTATCACCACAGTTCTAAGTCATAAGATAGTACATATATGTATCACTTGGCTTTAGATTTTTAATTACTTAAAATTTTGAAGACTGGTTCAAGAAATACTGGTTTGGGTTGCTGAATTACTTTACTTGCCATTTAAAGTTTGAAAATCAGCTACCTTTTTGTCAATGATTTTTAAGCTTTTGGGTTTTGTTGTAAATCTCTGTTGTATCTGTCAAAAATGAACTTTAAAAAATATTCTTTCAAAGCATGATAGATATTTTAAATACCTAAGAGAATGTTTTTAAAAATCCTATTACAGTTTGAGTAACCTTTACATGAAATGCTTGAGACCAGAAGTGTTTTGTATTTTGCATTTTTTTTTTCAGATTTTTGGAATGCATGCACTTAATGGTTGAGCACTCCAAATCAAAAAATTCTCAAACCCCAAAAATGTTCCAAAATCCAAAACTCTCTGAGCAGCAGCATGACACTCAAAAGGAAATGCTTATTAGAGCATTTTGGATTTCAGATTTTTTATGTTTGCAACGCTCAATCTGTACTTAGAAATGATCACTTTTGGAAATGGAAATTAAGTTAGTAAGCCTGATTTTTTTTAACTCTTCTAAGTAATGAATTGTGTTTAAGTTAGGAATTGAAAGCTGAGCTGTAAGCCCTTTTGTCTTCTCACGAGGTGTGAGCTTATAGCCAAATAATGAGAATCCCTGAGCCTCAGTGTCCACGACTTTCAATGGATGGCTTTACTGGCCAGCACTACTCTCTTCTCGGCTCTTACATTGTAGGAGTGTAAAGGGATCCTTCCATCTGTATGACTATGTGTCAGGCATCCAGTTTTTCTGTGTGAATTCTAGAGTGGTTACCGGCCTTGTCTGAGAGCCACTTCTAGACTACTTTCTTTCTAAATATTAACATCAAAATGTCAGATTACATCAAGATTTTTCCTTTAATTCTGTACACAAGCAAAAATAACTAAAGTCAATATTGTTTAAAAAAAAAAAAAAACAAAATAAATTTTCTGCCAAGTTTGAGCACAAAGTTATTTCTAGGCCGGCTTATAAATAATGTGTTTATTACAGCAATAATGTCAGAATGAAAGTTACAAGAGTTTTCTTTAAACATAGGGAGAATAACTTTTGGTTTTTCGAAAACAAGCAATGGAATCTAAATCTGGGTTTTTCACAGTTGAAGAAAGCAGACAAGATTTGGCATTCTGAGGAGTCTAGTTATCTCTCAAATCGATTTAGCAGAATTCCGAGATTGAAGTTCTAGTCTGCATTTGGTAGATCTGTCCTGTGTAAACTGGATTTCTTTTCCTATCCTGTAGGTTCTGTCGTATCATGCTTCAGCAGCAGAGGAAGAAACAAGAGAGCTACAGTCGTTAGCGGTAATTCTCCTCTTTCTTTTCAAAAATTACTAACTACAGACATCTAATTGAACCAAATTCGGTAAATATTTAGATGGACACTGATAAAAATCTTTAACTCTGCTTTCTTGCAGGGATACAAAGTCACTGATAATACAAGGAAAAGGGGCTAAATAACTCATACTGACTATGTAATATAATGTATGATTCTGATATTGTTTTCTAGTAATTGTTATAATCGTTACATCTTTCAGGGGCCAAAATGAAATTTACTTTTCTTTCAGTTCCTGGGAAAATGGGGAACACAAGGTGGTTGTTTGGCTAGGGTAATAACAGAACAGTTTGTCGTTTGTTACTGATACCTACTCTGCATTATCAAGAATTGAGAGTAATTTCAATTTCTGAACACAGGGTTTATAAAATGTTGTTTGAAATGGGGGTCAAATACAGTCACGTCCTGAATTCTCTTCACATTGGTATTTAGCATACAATGAGAGAAAAGCACATGGATATATAAGTAGATCTGTGTTCTAGATCTTGGTTTGGAATGGCTTGGTTGAGATGAATGAAAATTGGAGGCATTCAAACATTTACAACCAAGGTTGTCCTCCTGTGTTTAAATGTATTTGTGATGACATAGGCAAGGTTCATGTGAGAATGTGATGAGAGTTATATAAGGAATGGGAAGAGTGTGAACAGATCATTGAGATTGTTTTTCTGTCATCCACATCATACTTTGCCACATCCTAAACTTTGTGCCTTTACATACATCTTATCATGTAAACTACACAACTGTGTTCTCATGTAAATTTCGTAACTGTATTATGAAGGCCACAATGACGCTTGGAGAAGCTCAGTGACTTGCTCAAGGTCACTGCCATGCAGTATAATAATCAGGATACAAGTTCACCATCTAACTCCAGAGCCTGTGCACAGAACACTGTGCCGAGTGAGAGAGGAAAATGATCCAAATGTTTTGACCTTGGCAATTCAAAGAATGATGGTGACATTAACTCATAACAGTACAAATATTAAGAAGACAGGTTTGATTTAGGACAAGATAAGTTTGAGGTGCTGGTTGAACAAGCAAATGAACATCTCAGCAATCAGAAAAGGCAGGACTAGAGCAATGATGGGGTGGTGTTTAGAACTAGAGGTGAAGATTTGGGAGTTAACATCCCATGATAGTGAAATCATAGGGCTTCATCAATTGAGAGAGAGTGCAGAGAGGTAGGGAAAGAGGGAGAACAGATCTCCTGTGAATATAGGCTTAGATGGAAGGAACAGGAAAAGAAAACAGCTCAGAAGGTAGCAAAGTGGTAATTAAACAGGAAGGAAGGGTGAGGATAGGTTAGTGGCACAGAAGGAAAATAAAACAGTTTCAAAAAGGGAGGCGATCTCATCAGTTGTAGGAAGGTTGAGAAATATGAGGATTGAGAAAAAGCTGCTGGATTCTTTGATTAGGTGACTATTGAGAAAGAAGTGAAACTGCAAAAGGTAAAAGTAGTAGAAAACGGTGGAAGAAATGAATATAGACTATTCAAAAATTAGAATGTTTTGTGTAAGAGAGAATGGAGGAGCAGCTATGAAGGGTGTTGCCTGAATCATGTGAAGTTTTTTTTTATTGTTTAATTAGGTTTTGAATGTAAGAGCAGGGATTGCTCACAGCAAGAGAGGCAGAATGTTCCTGGACAAAGGCGGAGGCCCAGGAGTGAGTGTGAGGCTAACAATGCAAGGCAGCGAAGAGATAAGGACCTTGAAGAGGCGCCTAGGCATGAAGGAGTAACATTTCTTTTGCCCAAACCAGAGGAGAGATATTAATAATAATAGCTACATTTGTTGAACACGTAACTGTATACTGAGCATGTTTTAAGTTCTTTGTGTATGTCAACTAAGTTTACTGAATCCACACCTACATGGTCAGTATTGTTAGCATTTTGTAAGAGAACATTTGTGGTTTAGATGGTTTCTATTCAGTATTGTTAGCAGTTTGTAAGAGAACATTTGTGGTTTAGACGGTGCTTCTCAGGATCTCTTTAGGTTGTAAGCAGGGATTGGTGCAGTACTAAATCTAGGCAGTCTGGATCCAGAGCCCACAAAAGATTGCACAGCACTGGAGAGAGTAAGTTAGGAAGGAATGGAGTGAAATGAAGACTTGTAAACATTCTCAGTTAAATCCATGAGTAAGAAACGGAGTCATTTGCCCGTGAAACTGAGTCAACTGCCAAGAACAATTCTAGGAACTTGAAATTACTAATTTCATCTGAAAGGTTAAGCTTCTTTTGGGATTAACCTCATATGGAATTGTCTATATTTATTTTGTGTATTCATGACAGTATTTGAACTAATGAGCAGTTTTTCAATTATTTACAAAGCTTAATAAGTTTAAAGTATTATTCACCTCAGGCTTAACTAGCCCATTTGTCTATGCTTCCTAGAAGCATGTTGTATTCAAGCAACATGTTTGGTTATTTGGAAATTATCTACATATTGAAGTGCCTGCAGGCACTGTGGGGTTAAGTTATTTCTAAAATGAAAGTGAGGGTTACACTCTACTATTATATTTAAACTAAAAAAGTCAGGATATTCAAGTTTGTTTTTCCCTTTCAAAATGGTACAATCTTTCAGAAAATCTGAAAATTATTTCCTCAATTATGTTTATAATTTTAGCAAGAGAAAAATACTTTGGAATAACTGAAAATTGCTATATTGCAGTATTGTTCAAAACCAGCTGTTGTTGCATTTGGAAAATAGATTTCTGGCAGCTGCATTGAGAAATTTAGGGTTACATAGCTTATAGGTCAAGTAATTCACTTAAATTGGTTGAAATTCAGCAACTGATTTCAGTTCTAGTTTTCTATCAACCAAATAAAAATTCTTGTACAGCCCTAGCTACAGGTGTTTGTATCATCCAGCAATCAACAAAATTGCTATCTTTGTCATTTGTCTGATTATCTCAATGTAAAACCTAAAATAAATTGAAAACCTGTCAAATATTTTCTTAACTCTTATTTTTAAATATCCTTAAGAGAATTCCAGAAAAAGTTCTCCAGTTGTAAAAAAAGTAGTTAGTTGATAGGAAATTCAGAATCCTTATTTTTTCCACTTCCGTTGCTTGAGGATTTTATCCCATTATAAATCTAACCTTCACTTGGCTTAAAATTGGGGGTAGCATAGTTAGGTGTTAAACTGAGCATTTTGCCATATACTTTTTAATGATCCTTAGTCACAAGTTGCTGAGATAATAATAAAAGGACCCCAGCTGAACTGAAAGTTAATTATCAGAATATAGTAAATGCTTATTTGTTATCTGAACAGCTGGAAAGTAAATATTTGATTCATCATTTGACTGACAGCCTTTTTTGCCTTCCTTTATTATTAGAGCAGTAAAATATATATTAGGTTTTGGTTTTATAAAATAGCTTCTCATTTTTGTCACAGAGCCAGTGCTGATCCACTTCAATCCTTATAGCTTAGCTGACCACTTAGGCAGGATTTCTTAGGCCAGAATTTCCTCATCTTGACCTTAACCTTTCAGAGCCAGAAATAGCATATGACCCTGTCTTCAGCAGGCACCTGTGTGATTGCTGCAGGTGACAGCAGTAAGGTGCGGAGCCAGATAACTGACCCAAATCTCTGATGCCTAAGTCAGTCTTACAGTGCAGATCAAGTTCCTTGTGTCAAGATGACCATATTCCCTTGTATACTCTGTATGGATATGAAAAATTTTGAGCAATTTAACAAAGAATTATTAGCCCTATATCTTGATAACCACTACCACTGAACTGTAATTTCCTATTGCATCCAGTAAGACAGCAGTCCCCAACCTTTTTGGCACAGGTACTGATTTTGTGGAAGACAGATTTTCCAGGGGTTGGTTGTGGGTTGGGGAGTGGAGAGATAGGGAGTATGGGAATAGTTTCGGATGAAACTGTTTTATTTCAGATCATCAGGCATTAGATTCTCATAAGGAGCATGTAACCTAGATCCCTTGCATGTACAGTTCTCATGCTCCTATGAGAATCTAAGGTTGTTGCTGATCTGACAGGAGGTGGAGCTCAGGCAGTAGTTCTCACTCCCATTTCTCACCACCTCCTGTTGTGTGACCTGGTTCCAAACTGGCCACGGACCAGTACCAGTCCACAACTCAGTGGTTGGGAAGACCTGAAGTAAGGCGTTGTCTTCCTCAAACAGTTCTAGAAATCTGAAACAATCCTTTGAAGTTTCTGTACACCATTGATTGAGACATTGATTTTCATAGACATCTGTAACATTACCCCAAAACCTAAAATGCAATTTAAAAAAATTACAAAAATATTCATTGTTCAGATGAAAGAAGAAATTCAATTATAAGTAAAATTTTTCAAAAGTAAATAAATTGAATAATTGAACTTTAAGAGAAAAAGACATGTACCACAACATATTGGTTGTTTCTACCATAGAATAGTTCATTACTAATATGAACATTTATGCTATAGCTGTATGCCAAATTAAACTTACATGAAATATTTCTGCATAATATGGAGAACTGGTTATGTACTAGATGATTTTAAAAAAGTTTATTTATTCATTTGGGATTTAACTTCTACTCTAGGCAGGCATTATATTAAGTGCTCCAAATATAATAATGAATAAAGAGTCAGATAATTATACAATTTATATAATTATAGTCGGGAGAAAGATGTAGGACTGTAAAGTATAAAACATTGTGAAATTACATAGCAACATATTCTAGAGTGAATGGTCTGAGATACATGTCATTATCCAGATCTTTTCAAATGTATCAATTCCATTTCTTGGTGTTCCTTCGACTCCCTCCTAACCAGTGCTTTCACTTTTGCATAGGAGATGTGGCAAGTCTGTGATTCCAACCTATACTGTAATTCACCAATCTGTAGGATAAGACTGAACTTGGGTTTTGGCTACATCAGTGCTACAAGAAATAAATTTTTAGGAAAGCCATAAAAATTCCTTAGTTTTCAGACCATTATTTGAGCCAAAAATTTAAAGCCCAGAGCCCTTCATTTTCTTTCTTTAATCTCTCTAACACAGCAAGAAGCAACCAACTCACTTAAAGTTTCTGCCCATCACACTGTGGTGGCAGTCACCAATGGGTCCACAGAAAGGCATTTTGTTCTGAAGTGTTCACTTGAAATTACTATTAACAGCCATTTACTACCAATAACCTATCCCTAATACAGTGTCAGCATTCATCAGAATCACCTAGGAGGTTTTCTTATAACACAGGTTGATGAGCCCCACTCCCAGGGTTTCTGATTCAGTAGGTCTGTGTTGGGGCCCAAGAATTTGCATTTTTAACAAGTTTCCAGTTGCTGATGCTGCTGGTCCAGGAATTTAACTTTGAGAGCCACTGCTATAATGGAAACCGAGCCCCTTCTGCCTTCAAACCCATCAGGTCAAGTATCTAAACTCCAATTCCTATCCTTGAGATTCTGTTGCCTACAGATGCATTTGTTGCAAAATACAGCATCAACAAGGTTCAATTATAGGTAGTAGGAACTACTACAGCCATTTTAAGCAGAAAAGAATTTAAGTACTTTCAAATCATTGAAAAGTGTAGATAAGTCACCCCAGGAATAAGTCATGGAACAAAATTGCAGATCTGGCTCGCTATGGAAACTTCCATGTTTGTAGGCCAGAGTCAGAAAGCTGCTAGCAGAACTGTAAGCTACAGGACTGTAGTATGCCCTCTAGAGTCACGTCCTCCAAAAATAATGATGAGTTTCCCATGTGTCACTGGTTTACTTTGAAATTCAGGTCTCACTCAAGTTTACCTCGTTACTGAAACCAAATCTGTCTGTAACCCTAGTTGCAAGGGAGTCAAGGAAATGTATTTTTTGTTAGCTGTCTAGAAAAAGTTGAAACAGTTGTTAATGGAGCCTTGCTATCACAAGGACTAGTGAATGTTTCCCTGATGCAGCTAAGACATAAACAAAGTTAAAGAATTAGTTATGTGAAAACATGGGAATATGCATTATAGGCAGAAAAGAAACAAAGAGGCTGGTAAGTATGAGAGTGTGTTAATTAACCTGAAAAACAGATGGCAAATATATAAATACCTCCCCCATCCCTGAAAAAAAAAAAAGATGACAATTTCAGAAAAGTCCGTTTTTAAAATTTAGAATATTATTGAAATAAGAAGAGAGGCTACCACATATTGAGTCTAATCCTCCACTACTTTAAGCCAGTAGAGGCTAGGGTCCTCTGGTTAAGCCAAGAGCTGTGGAATATCCCTCCTTCTACCTGTGAGGAAACAGGACCAAAGTGACGTGTATGGAATCGAGCTTGAAAATTACAACATAATCATAACTTCCAAGATACACCCATCCATGTACTCAAAGGCTAAGAAAATCAGAGACTGAGTTTAGGCCCTGTATGGGAAAGTCACTGGCAAGATCTGGATGCCACTCCCAGTATGGTGTTTGATGCCAAAGTGAGGAGGCAGTAAGAGGTGCATGAGTCCTGTGGATACAGAGATAAATGTATTAAAAACTCAGAGAAAGCTAAACCTTAGAGATAGTCTACTCCAACTTCCTTATTTTACAGGTTCGAAAAAGGCAGAGAGGTTGAACATCCTGTTCAGGTGACAAAATCAGTAGAACATCTGGCCTAGCATCCCTAGTAGCAAACATTCCTTTTTATCATGTGTCACCTTGCTTTTAAGTTTCTGTTTGTGTTCAGCATCTCATGCTGAAATGTAAATGTGGTAGCTGATCTAACATTTTGTCAGCCAGACATCAGTTTACTGTTTAGCTCCTTATCAGTCAGATGGTATATAGAACAATTAGTTTTAAGATCACTGCAAAATTAAAATAATTTTATAATTCTGACTACTGCTTTAACTCAAGACATTCCTGCACTCAAATATTAACTTTGGTTCCACTCTTAGTGGCTTATCATGTCCAGAGTTGAATTTTTAAAAAATTTTTACAAGAATGGTGAAAAGAGGTCCATGATATTAGAAAAGGATCATAAAAAGGTAGCTTATGATATAATTCGTTTTAAGAGTCACTAGAGGCAAACTAGCTTCTTTATTAGTTTGAGTAGCAGATACAATTGAAGAACCCAGAAGAAAATATATGCCATCAAATTGTTAGTCAGATTGAAATCTTTAACCCAATGAGCTTTGTCTTTTTTTTTTTTTACATTCCATATTTGGTTAATTTGAAATTAAAACCACAGTTCTATAAGAGCTTAACCATATTGAAATTAAGCTCTAATATCTAAACTGTTTTGTCTAAGAATTCAGAGACACTGTGCTCTCATATAAATAGGCAATATTGGATGGTATTTCATGGTATCACAGTTCCATTGGTTTTGAATTGGATTACTCAACCATAAAAATACATATATATATTATTTATATTTTAGTATCTTATTTATATTTAATATCTTATAGTATTTATATATTAGTATCTTATTGTTTTACAGAATCTTTAAAATACGTTCTTTCTGTTGGGCTTCAAAACCATAATGCAATAATAAAATCCCCTGAAGAAAATCAAACTCAGAAATCTCATTTTGGAAATTTTAATAAATAAAACAGTCATTAAAACGAGAAGCTGTGAAAATCTGGAACTGCATATTCATCCTATGCCAGAAATACCACATACTTTATTCCCTGCTATTAGTAAATTTATTTCCTGCTATTAGTAAAATGTATAATATTTTATCCTATGACGTGATAAGTAAAAATTATAGGTAATTATGTTTTACTTAAAACATAACTAAAAATTATATGTTACTTAAAATCGTCTTTAGCCCAAGCCTTTCTAAATGAAGCAGAAAGTTGAATTCTCTTGTGATGGTCAAAGAAGAAGAGTACAAGAGCTTGAAATGATTTCTGATTTCTCACGGCTTGTCAGTAATGGATCCCAGAGTTCTGAACCTGTGTATTACTGACCACAAGGCTCTTATAGAAAATGTTTGCATGTCCCCACTGGGTCAGCTCAGAATTTTTGAGTTGTAGTATGCTGTGACCAAACAAGCAAAAAAAAAAAAAAGATTCTTTTCTCTTAGTAGAGAGAGATTAGGTATTATAGTAGATAATGAAAAGAGGCACAAGCTGTGCTGGCTTCTATCCTGTAGCTTTTAGAGTGTCCTTTGTGGAAGGAAAGAAAGAAAACTTCCTGCTGTAAGAATAATGAAGCCCTAAGGAAAAAACATCTGTTCTCCTGTCCAGTGCACTATGTTTTAAGGAAAGCAGCTGTTATCTGCTGTGAGTTAAAAGGTGGGCTTGTTCCCACCTCTGCACTTCCCAAACTTGAGTTACTGCTCCATATCTGATGTTGGAGGCTGGTATAAACAACTAAGCCCTTTAGCTAAACATTTTCAATCCTTCTCTCTTCCCGTGTTTCAGCCCACGCACTAGCCTATGGAACTGACTTAACAGAAGGCATATTTTCTGGTCAGTTTTGGTCTTGGGAAAAAATTCTTAGCGTGAATGAAGAGGGTGACATTCATGGAAAGTTTAAACAAGTCTGGTATATGTAAGTGAAATCTAAAGTTCAGAATAAAAAGGAGAATCTGCAAGTGCCTTCATCTTTGTAGGGAAATCTATTTTAGGTTGCTCCGTAAGATTTTATTATTTTGACTTTTTGACTTCCCAAAAGCAAAGCAGTGCTATCTCAGGTACTCATAGGAAACTTGAGGGTTTTGAGAACCTGGCCAAGATTTCTTAATTTTTCTTTCCTCCACTTCAAACCACGTGAAGGCCTACTTTGGTCCAGTTAATCTCAGCCTGATCTAGCTAAAACAGTTAACAAAGTGCTGACAGGGTAAATGGGCATGGGTGCTCTGCTCAGTTCAAGGGAGCCGGGGCTCCTTGGTCCAAATGAATGTTTTTTTAATAGGCACCCAGGTGATTCTTATGATCAGGCTTATGTGAGGCAAGTGTGGTGGGAGACAAGTTCTGCTTGTCTGAGCTCAGAATAGCCATTTGGGATTGGAAACCTGGCCTCCTCCTTAACTAGCTGGCTGCCACCGGCAAGAAAATTCACCTCTTTGTGCTTTAGTTCCTGTACTTGAAAAATGGAGCTGGAGTGTCCACTTCAAAAGGTTGTCCTGAGAATTAACCGTAAAATGCTTAGAACATTATCATTACCCTTCTTACCAGTTGATTTTCAGCCCAGAGCACTGAATGGTTCCAGAATCACTACTTAGTACGTTTCTTTTGAGCCAATAAGACTGGGGAGGTATAAAGGAACCAGATCACTAGAGTTCTTAGTGCTGCTCACTGTTCTAGGTACAGCCTCAGGATGACAACCCTCTTTTCTCTGCTTAGCCTACCTGGAACCATAGTAGTTACCATTATATGGCTCAGTTTTAAAACTGCAGGGAGTGGAGTTCCCACTGTACAAAAAGATTTCTAGTGTCTTTCATTTAAAAAAAAATATGCTATTTCGCTGCAGCAAAACAAAAATCTTTATGAGTCACTACTGCCTTAATTAACAGCATTATTTTTTTTTCTTCTCTCCTTACCTAAGGCTGCTGTGGTGCCATCTGCCCAGACCCTTAAAATTACTGACTTTAGCTTCAGTGACTTTGAGCTGTCTGATCTGGAAACAGCACTGTGTACAATTCGGATGTTTACTGACCTCAACCTTGTGCAGAACTTCCAGATGAAACATGAGGTAGGGATGCAGCAATGTCCTTTGGAAAGTTCTATGTGGGTGTGTATGTAAGAGAATTGGTATTGAATGCAAGTATGGAATAGGGATTTTTACGTTTACAGTCACCTAATATGTAACTGAGACTTTTAAAGAAAAATTATCATTCATCAAAAAGACATTGAATGGGCTCATAGCATGTATCAGGCATCAGGGTGAAGACTAAGGGAGAATGTTCCTGAAAGTGGGAGCAGGATGTGCAAAGGCATGACAGGAGAGGTCGGGGGTGGGGACGAGGAGTACTGTTGAGGGGTAAAAATGGCAAGAGAAGCAATGGAAGAAGAGGAGAAGCAAATCATACAGAACCTTGTAAGCCATACAGAGGAATTCGGATTTTACCCTGAAAACAGTGGTGAGTCACAGGAATTTTATGCAGGTACGTCGCATGATCTCATTGCAGTGGTTATGACAACAGTGTACAGGGAAGGACCAAAGCAGGGTGAACTCCTTTGCAAATGAAGAATGAAATGAAGGGGCCTGATGTGAGGCCAAGCTTTTAGCTGGAATAGGCTCAGATGAAAACTGATTTTAACCTCTGTTGCTTACCTTATTCACTTCTCAGAAAATAGCCTGAGATACCAGGGAGTTCTGCTGTTTCATAATGGCTGTGTATTATAACATATAGCACCAAAGAATAAGAAGGAGCAGAAAGGACTATTTGAAATAAAAATTCAGTAATCTTGCCTTTAAAGATTACTTTTCTCATCAGGTGAATGTCTAGTCTCCTTGTACAGATTTCCTTTCTGAAAATTTAAATATCTTGAAGCCCTCCACTATTTAGCACTGTATTAATTCATACAATGAAAATTTGTTAACATATACTGTATACCCAGGACTGTGCCAAGTACAAATTTCAGCTGTGAGTTGTCCCTGCTCTCAAAGGCCTCACAGAAATGAAAACTAAGAGTGAATATAGCTAAAATTAATACATTATCATTTATGCTATTACTGGAGGCCCAAATCTGGTTTTTCCTGAATGTGACTAAAGTTTATTTTATTCTTTCTTGGGTGAAAATAATGAACAATTGTCCATAGACTCTCACCTAATAATACTTTACTCTTGTTAGAGTGTGTTGATTAAAGGGTATCATGTCATTTAATTATTTCAACAAGTTCTCTAGAAAGGCTGTCAATGGGGTTACTATTGTTCCCATTTTACAAATGAAAAAATTGAGACAGCATGATAGAGTAGGAAGATTGCATATTTTTGAATCATAGCTCCGCTACTGATTAGCTCTTTTTCCCTTGGGCAATAAATCACTCATATTTTCAGTTTCCTCATCTGTCATTACGGGTAATGGTATTATTCTCCCATGGAAATCTTGTGAGAATTATATGTGCATCTGTGATTATCTATTTGTATGCATGTGATGTGTATGTGTGTACTTATCTATAATATTCTGTTTAACAAACAGGTTTAGAGTCCATGTCAGTTATCCCATTCTGAGGCCAAGTTTGACTGGTTATATCACCCATCAGATTTCTCAATAGTAGGTCATAGGCTCATTTGTTAAAGCTGTATCTATTGATGGATGAAGATCTCATTTGGAGCCAGAAGTTCTATGTGAATCTCACTTCCACTTCTTGCCAGTTGCAGGCAAGAAACCTATATAGCATCTCAAATCCCTTTCCATTCCTGAGAACTTCCATTCTTGAAACTAGTGATGATTCTGTTCAAAGGGACTTGGCCAGAGCAGAGGAATGTGATTCTTATGCTTTTAAACAAAATTCATATAAGTTGATTTATTTCTTCTTGGGCCTTTAGATAGCATTTGAGTATTGGGTAATGAAGATAATCACTCAATGTTTCTGTAGAAAACTTTATTCTTACCAGTTGTTGGATTTTTATCCATGAGGAAAAGATTTCCTTTTAATGTCTGATTCATCATGCTACCTTTTCTGGTTGAATAACTATTATTCTAATTCTGGCCAACATCAACTTGAACGTTGCAATCATTCTGGTTGGCCTGCCTTCCTTAGTGCCTCTTCTATTTTGTTTCTTTCAGATATTATTGTCAGTATAATTTTAGGATGATTAACTTAAATATTAACGCTAGAGAGGATGTCAACATCATGAAGCTGCTGTAACTAAGAATAATTCATACTGAAAGATAGATTTTCATGTTCCCTTCATGGCTTCTAAATCTTTAGTTATTCTCCTATAATGATTATAACCATCGCCTCTTGCTGATCTCTGAACAGATCCTCTTTCTACTCAAGCAAATCTGCGTGTGCTATGCTTGTTTTCACTTTCTGTCTTTTACATCTCATCCTTCCCTGAATAATGTCTGCTCCATTCTATGCCACAACAAACGTTTCACTTCTTCAGAACCTGACTCAAGAATATCTGTTTGTGAGAGAATCCTAGGATTGACTTCATGCTGCTTCAATTGCTATTTGGCAGTTTATAAACTTGCTCTTAATTTTATATTTTTAAAATTTATTTCCTTTATATATACAATTTTGTTATTTTCACTACTTGATTGAATTTCTTGAAGCAGGAGCTAAGCTGTTTTCTGTTTCTTTTTTTTTTTTTCCAGTGGCATCTTGAGTTCACTACTCAGGAAGCCTTCCGTAATTGTTGGAGACTGATTCAACATATTGAACAGACTCTCTAGAGTTACCTAAACTGCAAATAACTACTCAGTAGTCCTGTACAAAATGCTGTGTTACAAATTTTAATGGTGTCCAGCATATCCACTGAGAACTTACCAGATATGACCTTAATTTTTTTGTATGCTGTTGAGAATATCCTGGTAACAGAATCTAAAACGGTATTTGAATTTAGTTACTACTTTGTCCTTTGGGTTAGCCAATTCTATTAGATCCCTCTTAATAAAAGGGTAATAGAGTAGTCCATTAGGAATTATTTTTCATAGAGTCATTTTGGTCATGGTTTTATAATAAATGGTATTATCTATTTAATTGTTCTGTATATTTATGATTAGCAAAAAGATATATCCAAAGATTAAATTTCCGGATTTTCCTGTTTATTTTTCTTGCTGCTTTAATTAATCACCAGTAATTCTCTGCAGCATATTTTCTAAACATGTCAAAGAGAGTTTATAGAACTTACTTAAAAGTCTCCAAGTAAGATTAATTCATCACCTTCTTGACATACTCTATTCAGAAATGACATAATGGTGAAAGAAGCTGTGGTGTGTTTGGGGTGAACACATTCAATCTTAAACACACAGAAATCCTCCACTTGAAATATGGCAATTCAGTGGGTAAAAAGGTTAGGAGACATTAGGGTTCTTTGTTATAAGAATTTCCTGTAAACTGAGCAAAATCAGGAACAAAATGACCTGAAAAGAAAAGGGAGGATATGGAAACATTGATTTCCCACCAAACCCTTTATAAGCTGTTTCTACCAACAATGAAGAATCCTTGTTTTTGGCCTACTTCTGTAGCTAATCATATTGTGTTGAATATTGTCAAAGCAACATTCTTTTCCCTAGTACTTTTTCCATTTCCCAGGGCAATGTCCTTTGTGTTTGAAGCAACTCTAATAATATATATATAGGGAGAAGCACATATTTATTTTACAAATCCCCAAAAGTATAGTAAATCACTCAGATTTGAAGACAGGCAGACTCTGATGCTAACACAAACCATGTTTAGGGCCCATGAGTCCCTGGGGATTTTATTTAATACACCACTTAGAGGTTGAATTAAACCCAACTCTTGAGACTTGCTGAAGTCTATCCTACCCCTGGCCATTTTTAAGGTGTTTTTTATATGAAATCCAGGGCTTTATTTGACATATATTATTTTTAAAAAATTACTTCTTTGTAACCAAGCAATAACTACCTGAATAATGATAGAACTAAGTCTCATAGCTCCAATGTGTCCCTGGACATGTGGTATGTACCTTGTTACTAGTTCACCCCCAGGGCCTTGCACTAAATACCTTCACAGATATACAACATGAGAGCATGGGAAGAAGTTGAGAGTGGCCGCTTTTATGGCTCTCTAATGGTGAATTCATACCTATGTGACCCTTTGGACTCTCCTAGTTGGTGACACATGGACACATGGACTTTTTTTTTTTTTTTAACTAACCAATGCCCTACACTGCCCAAAATACCTTTCTCATGATCTCTTTCATTTTGTATCTAATTTAATTACCATGGTGGTTAACGTGGTGTACAGTGAAGTCAAACTGCTCAAGTTTGAATTTTGACCCTATCCCTAACTAACATTATGACCTTCAGCATGTTACATCTCTGAGTGTCCATTTTCTTGTCTCTAAGATGATCATAATAGCAGTATTAGGCTATATATGAATGTTTTACACAGTGCCTGGAACGTAGTAAATGTGTGAAGATGTTGGCAATTATTGATACTACTTATGTTTTATTTTCTAAAGGTTCTCTGCAGATGGATTTTAAGTGTTAAGAAGAATTATCGGAAGAATGTTGCCTATCATAATTGGAGACATGCCTTTAATACAGCTCAGTGCATGTTTGCTGCTTTAAAAGCAGGCAAAATTCAGGTACTTTTTAGAGCCATTCTTATAGCTAATACATTTTATTTCTTAGTAATGAAATTTACAGCATATTCTCTCAAGCTCGCTCTAAGGTGCACAGATGATGATTGACAATATTTGCTGCCACTTACATAATAAGTTAGGTTTTATTAATTAAAGAGGACTAATCTGGCAAAAATACTTAGTTGCTAATTTTCTTTCATATATATTAAATATGGCATATAAAAAAAACTTTAAAATAACCTCATGTTGCACGTAAATAATCTTTGGGCAAATAAATATTTCCTTCAGAGGAAAACACTACATTAGTAAGAAAAAGTATCACATTTCTCTTGTTCACATTCAACCTGCTCCAGAGTAGAATTCCTTAAAAACCACCCAAGTCCTGAACTTGCTTCATTGATAAGTTAGGAGTCTCTATCACATTTTCTCTGGAGCACTCAGTAAATTTTGTGTGTGTTTCATAGAAAGGGTTTTACCTTCCTATGCATTGACCAGAGACTGTTTAAAAGGAAGATCAGTGCTGAAAACGTTCAAGTAATTCATTCCTTTCTAGGCCAAATTTTATCCCTATCTCTGTCCTTAGAGTCTAACTTCAGTGGGAATCGACAAGTTATTCCAGGTAAGTGATTCCAGGCATCTATCATACAGCTGTTTTTAATTCAGAGCTTCCCTGTCTTTTTTTGGTAAATAAATTCTTAAAATGTTATTCTCTGTCTCTACCTTCATAGGGTGCACATTTTAACCTGTTAAATCTAAAAGAAAGGATTGTTTTTCAAGAAGTCAGGTTCTCACTCACAGGGGTGTTGAACAATGAGAACACATGGACACACGGAGGGGAGCATCACACACTGGGGTCTGTGGGAGGGATCTAGGGGAGGGACAGTGGTGGGTGGGGAGTTTGGGAGAGATAACATGGGGAGAAATGCCAGATATAGGTGATGGGGATGGAGGCAGCAAACCACATTGCCATGTATGTACCTATGAAACAATCCTGCGTGTTCTTCACATGTACCCCCAAACCTAAAACGCAATAAAATATATTAAAAAAAAAAGAAGTGAGATGAAATTTGATACAATAGTATTTTCCTGCTTTAGCAAACATGTGTAGGTTGAGTATCCCTTATCCAAAACGGGATAAGAAGTGTTTTGAATTTCAGATTTTTTTCAAACTTTGGAATATTTGCATTATGCTTACTGGTTAAACATACCTAATCTGAAAATCCAGTATTCCAGTGAGCATTTCCTTTGAGACTCATTGGTGCTCAAGGAAGTACAGATTTTGCAGCATTTTGGATTTCAGATTAGGGAAACTCAACCAGTGTAAGAAATTGGGAAAACTTATTTTGGGGTATGGAAAGGTCATAAGGATTATCATGATACACTGAAAACTATTCTTGTTCCCTGTGAGGAATAACAAAATGATGATTTTTGTGCTGTTGTACAACCTATTTAAAGTTCTGAGAGTTCTAGGAAAATACAGCTGATGATAATTTTAACTTGTGTTTTTTTACTAATTAAGGGGAACAATATAATAATACACATGGCAGATACTAAAAAATAACTTGTATTTATCTTGGGAGTATATTAGGTAACTTTTTAAAGCCAGGTTTTCATTTCAAATCATTTTCTTTCTATTGTTTTGCTTGAATTAACATTGTCTGCATTCCTTAAGTATACAGCAACTGAGAGCAGAGAATGAGCAGAATCTGCAGGGAATTAAAAGAGAAAAAACAATTGTTTAAAGTTTATTATAATTCTCCCACAAAATAAATAATTAAGAATTAGCAATACTATAGGTGGACAGATTATTAATTTATTGAGGCATTTTAGCTTTTCCTGTTGATAAGTGACATTTGTGGTAATCTCATTCTGAAGGACAAAGGACAACCAATTTCCTGAAGAATAGGATTCTAGGGTTAATCCTTTGTGATTAGTACTTTGGTAAAGCACTGAGTGGAGGAAAACAAGGTTACTGGAAAGAGGTAATATAATGCTCTTCACCGCATTATATCTGTTCTCTCTTTCCTCCAATGTCTTTTATCATGCAGAACAAGCTGACTGACCTAGAGATACTTGCGTTGCTAATTGCTGCACTAAGCCATGATTTGGATCACCGTGGTGTGAATAACTCTTACATACAGCGGTAAGACTGTTTCCCAGTAAAGCAAGAAAATGTTTTCTTTAAATTGTAGGGCTGTATTTTTTTAAGTTAAAGCCACAGCAAATTTGATGGTACAAAATTGCAATTGGTCAAGGTCCCATAACATACTCCGGTTATATTTAAAGGAGATGGAAAAAATAATGCAGGTTCAGTATTATGTTCATAATTTTTCAGCCCTGAAGTTCAAAACAGATTTATGTTGAGAATCTTATTTCATTAGATAAATACTAGGAGTTTTACTTCAGTTTATGTACACCCAGGTTAATAGCTTCCTTAGAAAACTATTAAGACTAGTCCAGGAAAGGTAACATTTCACCCTGCAATAGAAAAGATAATATTTGAAAAGTGGTTAGCTAAGCCCTATGTACTTATTAGGTGCTCAGTAGAAGGAGGCTTTTGATCTTAGCAGAAGCCGTATAGCACAATGTTGGAGAACTGGGTCTCTGTCTAATTTCTCTATACCTTAATGTCCTGATCTATAAAATGGAGTTAACAGCATACTCACCTCATAGGGTTGATAAAAGTTGTAAAAAATAATCCACATCAATACCAAGCAGAATGCCCGGTACCTATTAAATCTTAGAAGCAGATGCTAGAGATATATCATCATCAGATGTCTGCTCATTGGCTGAGTTTGAGAGTGAGTTTGAGAGTGAGAAGATCAAAATCAGCATGTATACACTGAACATAATACTAATCGTTAGGACAAGAGTTTCAGGCTCCTTTAAGGGCCATAGTTAAGTGGCATTTGAAATAACAAATGAGAGGATAAAGGTGACATCACTTTTCATCAAATGTTTGAGCCACTGTGATATTTTTATTTTCTTATAGGAATTTAGTTGAAAGATCTACATTTTAAGTGCAAGATCTCTTACTACTGAGCATTTTTTAAGTACACAAGTGATTCAACTAATGGACAGATCTCTCAAGGAAATTCCAGATGTCTGATATCTAAAGGGAATTTTAGAAAGCTCTCTAATCACATTCTCCTTATCTAAACAAATGGAAAACTTCATGTAGAAAGAATTGTAGTGATGTAACAACCATGTCCTCTGCTGACCTTCGATGGGAAAAGATAGTAAGTGCTTGCCTGAGTGTCAGAGTCTGGCTGTTTCCTCTTGAAAATCTCATATTTTGGAGAACTGACTGGGTGACGTGTTCTTTGTCCCCTGTGCTTTGCCACGTGATTGCAATCCTGAGCTTCACATAGACACAGGGTAATTATGAAAGAGGACAGGGACATGAAAAGATGTATAGTGCAGTGTCAAGCCACCTAGCATGTCCCTCCACAGTCAGCACAACCTAAAGATCAGGATCAGCATGTGCTACACTGAACATACTACTACTAGTATGTGGATTATTAGTGTATGGATTGCTCTAAGATGTTATTGCCCTGCTTTAGAGTTAAAAAAAAAAACACTCAACTATTTTTTCCTTTGTTTATTTAAAAATAATTACCCTGCCAACATCTGGAGAAACGTCATCTTCTCCAAAAAAAAGAAAGAAAAAGAAAGAAAACGTCCTGGGAAAAAGTCATCGACTGCAGAATCTTGTTTTCACACACACACCACAAAGCAGACTTCAAGTTTTTTTTAAAAAAAAAGTTAAAGCAGTTTCAAAGATTTTTCTTTCTTCCTACATCCCTGTGGTTTGAGTAGAGGAAACCAAGAATTTTCCAGGGATTTTTTTTGTTTTCTTTCCTTGCTGGTAAATGAGTGATACTTAAAGTAGAATTTTCTTAGCCAGGGGACTTAGGAGACTATGAGTACCATATATATTCCCATTTAAGTACTATCTTCTAAAAAGGTATACTGTGTCCAGCCCTCATCACATAGTCAAACTAATATGTAGAGAAAATCAAAACAATAAAACAATGCACAGAGATAAAAGTAATTCATCAAAAAGAGAAAAAAAATAGTCACGTGGTAGGTAAGTTAGAAACAGATTTTCCTCATTCATTCTTGAACATCTTTTCAGAAACTTGCCTTGAAATTACCTTGAAAGAAGATATTTCTTCAAGAGGAAGTTGCCCCTTGATTCATTATTTGATTCTTTGATTCCTTCTTTGATTAGGAAACTGCCATTGTAGAGGAGTTCTATAGGTATGCCAGTGGAATACATGAGGGAACAGTTCACTGCTCATGCTTACTTCTCCCACTTGGGTGAATAAAGAAAAAAATGATCTCAGATATATACTGAATTCTTATTTTAAAAATAGGCAGTAATAGGAACAAAATGACTGCAGTGCAGACAACCACTAGAGAAAGCACAACTGTAGCATTTGGGTTATGTAGAGAAATTACCTGCATTAGGCCTCCAGTCAATATAAGAAGACTGTTACAGATGCATGTGTTTGGTTAGATTCAAGTTTGGTGTTGATAAAGTAATGCAGTGAAATTATGTTACATTTTAGGCAGATGGATAATGGGTAATTATTATACTAGGGCTTTTGCCCTTTGTGAGGCAGAAAGAGAGTGATAGAAGTATAAAATGTGATTCTTGCCATTAAGGAATGGTCATAGTCTCATGAAGTAATAGTGATCACTACAAGAAAGTATTTAGTCCTGAATTATTTAGTGCATGAACTGTTAAGTGTTCAGCAGAGAAGACCAGTCAGAACAGAAGTTGTACATCTCCACTGTTAATGGAGGAAATGAGACTTAAACTTGTTCTTAAAATGTGGATGGGATTTAGAAAGGAGAAAGGATAAAGATATTCCAGGAGCACCATGAGGTAAGCATTTTCTTGGAACAGTGATGATGCTAGCTTGACCAGAGTTAGAAGATTCACGCTGATTAGGAATGCAAAAGAAGAGAATGAACAAATAGAAGCTTTTTGAGTCAGACTTATAAAACTAAGCAGTGCATTTTGGATTTGATATGGCTAGAAAAAAAGGTAGCTACTGCAGTGTGTAACAAACACACAGTTTTAGGAAAGAAGTCTGAATGTAAGCTACAAGGTAAGTGGGTAGAAATTAGAACCAGAGTTCAACCAGAAAGCTGTTACAGCAAGTCAGGAATAGGCTGAAAAATTATATACTGGGTAGAGAGAGGAATAGACTGAAGGAGAAAAAAAATTAATTTAATAATGACCAACTAGTTATATATAAGCATGAAGGAAGGAGATATGACTTGTGGTATAAGAAATTAGAACAGTGATAGTGCCATTGATGAAAATGAAAGAGCTGGGAAATGTGTATATGTGTGCATTGAGAGAGAGGGATGGGAAGGACGGAGGCTAGGGGAGTTTTTGCAGTAAGTAGAAGATAATAAATAAGGTGGTAGTTATGGGTGGTCAAATGATCAAATGAATGTGTTTTTTACAAGGGTAGAGATGCAATAAAATCAGGAGGAAAAAAATCTCCGGGTAGCCACAATCACACTATGTATATTTGTCCTGGGAGAACTTGTTCTATCCCATAACTGTCTTCTCTGCCCATAGAGGACAGAAGTGAGCTGGAGGGTCGTGGTCTGGCGCAGTGAGAATAGAGAGTCAGCAGCATCTGAGAGACATAAAAGGGCCCTACACACATACAAAATCATGTGTGAAGTTCAAACTGGGTAGAGTCCATTTTATCCATGAATGAGGTTATCCTTGGTCAGGTTGGAGCTCTTGAGAGCCTGGAGATCTGAATATGAATAAACTGCAGGTTCAGTTAGTCATATGTCAGTAGCAAATACTAATAATAGAAGCTAAAACTTTATTAGGCCTTATGGCATTTGAAACATTTTAGCACTTTTTATATATTTGTTCATTTAGTCCTTATATCACCATGCGTGGCTATGATGGTTATGGTAGTTAAGAGCCAACTTGAGCCAGATGCCTGGCTTTAGATTTTGGCTTCTCCTCTTACTTTGTGACCTTGTGCAAGTCATTAAACTTCTCTGTGTCCCTGCTTCCTTCTTTGTATAATGGAATAATCAAAATACTTATCTTCTCAGCTTTTCATAAGGATTAAAGGGGTAAAATAGATGTAAAGTGCTTAGAACATTCCTGGCACATATTAAATGCTCTACATGTTTTAGCAATTTTCAAAGAGGAGTGTTCTTAGCAACAGTTAGGAGTTCGAGATCTTGGTTTGTCAGTGGTGAATAAAGGGAGTGGCAAAGATACTGTGCCCAGTAGAACCTAGTAGCTGTGGAACAAAGAAGTGGAGCCCTGTCCATCTTATGTGCAAAGAGATAATCAGTAGTGTCAAGGAGGTCAGAGAACTCTGAGGTCAAAAGGTGAAATGAATCATCATTATGACTATCTATGTCACTGAATATGATTATAGACAATAAGAAGGCAAAAAAAAAAAAAAAAACACCACACATTGACTGGGAGAAAAAGGCAGTACTGATGTTATGAAGAGAAATGATGAAGTAAAGAACTTAATGGGATTCAAGGTTACAAAGAGGTGGTTAGAGAATTAAGCCCAGAGTAATATATATGACTAAGAAGCAGAACTGAGGATGTTGTTAACATTGGTGACTATAGGAAGATAGGGGTTGCAGGACAGTTCCCCACTCCCATGGGGCATGAGGCTTTCATTTTCTATAGAATTCTAAGGCTTTCTATTTCTAAAACACTGGTCTGATTTCTCCATTGGGCATCCTAATACTCCTGTCAGAGATGGACCAACAACTATGCAGAACAGAGGAAAATGCAGAATGAGTGTGCTGGGCCATTAGTGCTCACTGACAGCAGTGTGAGAACAAAACTCTGTAGCAGTCATGGTTTAAATGGGTCCTTCTGATGCAACCTTAAATAAAGAAGCCACATAGCCTTATGTTTGAAAGAGGAAAATGCAACAAATATAGAATACATTGGTTTCCATGAATGTTTTTATATACAGGAAATTCGGGGCATTTGTCACTCTGCTATTGATTCACGAATCTGTATTTTTAGAATGTAAGTAAAGGCAAACACAGTTTGCATTAGTTTATCTCAAAAGCCAAGTATTTTCTCTAATGTGTTATAGTCCTTTCTGCATCATCTAAAAATGTAATGTGGGTTTGAAGTTCTGACTTGGTTGTGTCATATCCACCTAATAGAATTTCCTAGTCCAGTCCCTAAGTAGGTCAGTGAGTGCATGCGCTGTGCCTTTAAAGTACTTGGGTATCCTAAGACAGTGTGATGCAGTGAAGAGGTTGTACCTGAATGGCAGCTCTACCACTTATATCAACCTTGAGCACATTATTTTTCTCTAAACCTTTGATTGTCTAAAAAACAAAAAGATGGCAGTTTTAGAGAGGTCTCAGCCTAGGTTACCCAGGAGGCACAACCTGAGACGAATGTCAGTGTGCATATAGCTTATTTGTGAAGATGACCCCAGGGAGCAGGAATGCGGGACTGGGAGTGAAGCCGGGGAAAAAGGAAAGCCAGTAGAGGGATGAGTTATCCAGATGTCTGCCCATACTGGTGCTCAGTCCTGCCATGTGCTTTTGAGGAGTCTTCTGAAATAAGACCCAGAACTGTTGACTGGCAAGACAAAGACAGCCGTCCATAGGTCTGTGTACCCCGCAGCCGAAGGTGGTCCACAGGCCTTCACTCTTTCACACTTCCAGGTTGAAGAAGTGTGAGTGCAGAGAAAATTCCTCTGGCACCAGCTGTGGGGTCACAAAGCTCTAAGGCAGAAGTGAGAGGTATTAAAGGTAGGCTGGGACAAAACATCTTCTAATTGGTACCTGAATGAAGTCTGTTAAAGTGTGCATGACACTGGACACTACATCAGTGGATGAGTAAGAGGTGGTAACGCGAGTTTTGATGTGGTAAATGGAAATGCCCTGCACAGCATTATTGTAAAAACTAAATATAGTAAACTACGTAGCACAGTACCTGACATGTTACAGGCTGCCATTACAGGCCATCTCCCTGGATGATCTTATCTACTCACATGCGGGATTACCATCTGCATGTTGGCACATTCCAAATCTGTATCTCTAGTCCAGAACTGAGTTCAGACATTTATATCCACTTGGGTCTGTTTCAGGCACCTTAAAATGAACAGATCCAACATTCAGCTAGTCAGCTTCCCCTGCTTCATCCCCCATCTTTAATTATCTTCTCCCTTTTCCTATCTCAGTAAATGAGGTCAGCATCTCAAGGTAGAAACTTTAACATTCATACTTTTTCCCTTTATCACCCTCATCCCTTCACCTCCCTCATCCCACTCCTAGTCAGATTTGTTACCAGTTCCTATCTGATCTACTCTTAACCAGCTCTCAGATATCTGCTTCTCTTCCTCTGGGTTGCTACCACTCTAATCTGGGCTCTGTCTTACTTAGGTTACTAGAAGTTTCCCAGTTGTCTTCTGACTAACTCCTGGTAGTCTCGATACACAAGCAATCCTGTTTCAATTAAGTTCATCCTTTTTCAGAAATCTACATGTGATACTCTGTTCACTGCCATCCATTCAATGTCAAGCATTATTTCAGCACAGTACCTGATCTATACTCCAACTCACTAAATATGGAAGGAGCAAAGAAGACAAGAAGGGCAAGAATTAATTTGGGAAAGGTTAGGACAACAGTAACATTGATCAATCAGCAGTGTAGACGACACTTTAAACAGTAATAAATGAGATTACCTGTCCTCTTACCTTTATTTTCACTTTACTATTTTCATTTTCCCTCAGGCTTCTTTCACTTTGCCTATTTTTCCCCCTACATTACATTTTTTCAGTCTTGGGTAGGCTTCTCTATCTTCAACAAATTACAAGCACAGTAAAATAATGATTCAGATAGTAAGTAGGAAGAAATAACAACACAATTGTTTTATCCTACCCTTTTATATGGAGCTTTGCAATTCACAAACCCCTTTCCTATAAATTTTAGGATCAGAGGTTTCCAAAACTTCATCTTTTTCTTATGAAGAAGAAATAGTGAAAACTATGGTTAATGATCACATGTAAAGGGTCATGAGAAACATGAGGTGGAGGATTGTGCTTGTCATGCTTTAGAGCTTTATTTGTGACTGCCTCAGATATAATAAACTGAGTATGATATCCTTTCCTCTCTCTTCACTCAGCCAAAGGGTTTCTTCTGCTTCACCAAGTTCAGTTAGGAGAACTTGCAGGATATCTTGCACTAAAATGACCCGGATCCCACATGGGGAACTTGCCAACTCAGCTCTCACCTTCCTTCCTTCCCAGGGGGCATGTGGACTGACTATGCCTCTTTTCATTGCCTTTCATCATTCATACCTCAGTTAATTCCGTCTCAATAAGTCCTTTTCTTATCTGCAGACACATATGAATAAGCTCACCTTCAGCCTGAGCATTATTTCAGAGAAAAAACTAAGGTGAATTTGTTTCAGATTTTATATCAATTGCAGTTTCGAAATTAAAAAATATGGTTAGTATGACTATTTCAGAGGGTTTTGTTTTCCATGTTTAGAGGTATAAATTTTTTGTCCTTATTCCTTACTTCTATTTTAATTAGTGTTAAAACCAATGAAATTGTTCGTACTTTGCCCTGGCAACGGTTACACTGATAATTGAAAACATTTCGACTCTTTGTTTCCCAGAGATTACCTCACTCTTTTCTCAATAAAAGGAGAGAAAATTATTAATTGATTACCTTTGTGAAGTAGCCTCTTTTTTAGTTAGCCAGTAATAAAAATGTAGTAATAAACTTGGATATTAAGGAAATTGATCCTTTTTTCTTTCTTCAACAAAATATTTTCAGAAGTGAACATCCACTTGCTCAGCTCTACTGCCATTCAATCATGGAGCACCATCATTTTGACCAGTGCCTGATGATTCTCAATAGTCCAGTAAGTACCGAATTTATTGTTGTGGAATTTTAAAAGAGAGCTTTATAAATTCAGTTTTATTTTTAGTTTTTGGATTTATTCCCAGCATCATAAATTCTTGCACATACTTTATTCCTTTTTGGGTAAGGAAAGCAATGCCAAAACATTTGAGATCCTCACAGCCTCACTTCTCTAGACAACTCAAATTGTTCACATGTTGCCCGATAAGCGAAATTTGGTTATTCTACTCTATGTGGCTATTCCAAGTTAGAAACAAAGAAAACGGGTATTTTGTGGCTCTCAGATAATTCTGCTTTTTTTGTTTAATCAAGGGAAGTGGTTTCTATAGCTCTAGCATTTGATTTGACAAAGCAATACCTTTTCCTCTTTTGGTTCAAATTTCTAGTCACTAAGAAACGATTTTATTAAAGAATAAAGCTGTTTAACAACTTGGTGAAGTGAACATTTATCAACATAAGAAAGTATATGCTATGCTATGCCAAATATAATTATATTAAGGAAAACAAGGTTAAAATAATATGCAGCAGGATATTAAGAATGGATGTGCTGGTATAATAAAATATTAATCTTTATTTGGGGAGGTGTTCATTATTTACATTATCTGTTGTGTGTATTACCTTCATAGTGAGAAAAAATGAAAGTTTTACATTGAACACACACAACGCATGACATATAATCTTAAAGCAGTTTTACCATAATATCTCTTAAGTTTACTCAGTGGGGCTAGTTCTTTCCTGAGCCCTGGAAAAAAAATTCAGAGATTGCCATCACTTTTCTGGTCAATCTTTTGTAAGTTAAAAGCCCTCTAATTAGTTTAGGTCCCAATATATAGAATAGAGTGCTTAACTCAGAAACCAAAATGCCTGCTCCTGGGTAACAGTCCAAATTTTGAACATGATTTAAAGTTTCAGGTTTTCTGTTACTGCACTGGTTGGCTTCTCTCAGTCCCGACCTTGTGTTTCTTCTAGATCCTCCTCTCTCCCCAACCTTCCATGTAGTTTCTTAGCCCTTCGTAGTTGGAGAATGGGAAGGGAGAATAATAAGAAACATCAAAACATTCTTAACAGATTGGTACTGATATGAGTGTCTTGCCTTTTAGACTTTTGAGGCAGGAGTCAGACACGAGTCTACTCCAGGCCCACCTCCACCCAAATGATAGGAGGCATACACGGGAACTCCACGCCCCTCATGCGATTGTTTAATATGAATTAGTTCCTGTGTAGAAGAGAGGTATTTGAATGGTATCCGTATACTATAGACATTCTATCATTTCATACACAACTTCTCTGGGGTAAGAGGTGCCAGAAGTACAGAAGTTGAATTCTGACCTTGAGCAAGAAAGAAAAAAGCCCTCCCCTTTGCTCCTCCGTATACAGCCTTTTCTATTGTATCTTAGGAATACTAAAAATGGGCCCTTGCCCCTGAGGCTCTCTCCCTTGCTTCGGACTCTTGTAGGCTCTCAGTAGCTTGCTCTTCCTTCAGTGCCCTCCTTAATAGCAGCCTTGCTGTCTGAGTGATCAATTCGATTCCCTTGCTCTAGGGCCCCCACCAACCAGCACTTCCACTTGATTGTTTGTGTTCATCTTTAATGTCCTCACAAGCAGTCCCCAGACCTGCCAGACTGGGCTGTCCAAGTCACTTCCAGAGGTACCAGTTCTTGGTTTGGTTTGTGCTCTGGTTACAAAGTCGCATAGGTTTTGAGTGGTCTTTCCAAGTACCCTTTTTTTTTTTTTTTTTCACATAATCCATGTCATTTTTAGTGTTTTTCAGAACTGAAATTTCTCAGGAATGTTTATTTCATGTTATAGTAGAAACATCTCTACTTTTCTTAGAATTTGCTATCTATGTGTTCCCACTGAAACTTTCATTTCAATATCCCGTTACAAATTTAGCTCCAGAGAAAGAAAATATGCTAACTTTTAAAAAGTATATTTAACAGTATTCCTATCAACTGACGTCTGTTGCTATATAACTTATTATGTGATATGTTATTAGTTAACATGTAAGGAATCTGATTGTATATATGGCTGGCTCAAATTATAAGACTTATCTGTATATTCTACCTTTGTAAGCATAATGACACAAGACATTATATCCTCAGCTTTTGGGAATAAAATGTAAGAATATAGTACTAAAAGACATTTCATTTTCCACTTGTACTTTTTATCTTCAAATAAGTATCAGAAGTATTTTCTGAATAAATTCTCTGTTTAGCCTAGAATCTAATTAAGTTATTTAGTATTTAAAAATAATGTTTATGGTTGTAATTATATATTATTGTCATTAATTAGATCCATGCCACAATTTCAGCATCTAGTTATCCTCTAACCAATATGTTTTGGCCCTAGCCTAGCATATCCAGAAGTTCCCCTGTCTTCATAACAAATCCTTTGCCTTCAGATCTCATTCCTAAGCCTCAGGAATTTTTCTTGGCCCTAAGATATAGGAAGCATATCTGACTCAATTTACAGATGTTGTTTTGATCATATTCTGAGTGTCTGGTCTGTGTGTTTTACTTAGTTCAAGATTAGAGGACCACTATGCTTTAAATTGCAGACAAGAGATAAAAAAAAATGGTTGCGTAGTAAAAACTTTCAATGATTTGCACATGGATTAACTACCTTTTAAATATTCCTTATAGAAGTTTCAACCCATGCTTTCTTTTACCACTGACCAGAAACCACCCTTTGGCTCATGCCCTTTACCCATCTATATTAAGATGTTCCTATGGAATATGCACTGTTATCATAACTAAGTTAAAATTATATAAATTTGCACCAGAAATGTCACTGGATTTATTTTAAATGCCATAGAGAAGTGACTTTTTTCGTAATCAATTGTGTAAAAAATTTACCACTCCATTATTCAGATCGATTAATATGGCTTTGATTTTTTTCAAAGTTTTACTTGCTGTTAGATTTTAACACTTAGTCTGCCCTATGGAAAAGGATAGCAATTAGATTTTAAGTCTGGACTAAGTCTTAAGGAGTATAAGAGTTAGAAAAACATGTATATGTAGGCAGATAAAGCATTATGAAGCTGTTTATCTGTATGACAAAGGGGTGGGATGGGAGCATCAAAGGGAAACATTATTTCATGGTATTTAAGTGTGCCCTCCACATCATGAGTTTAGAATACTGGGCATGTGTTTAAGATATGTGAATATATTTCCAGATTTTGTTCTTGTCATCAGTTTCTCCCTGGAGTGCTAACTTGGTTTTCTTTTTTATAAAGGGCAATCAGATTCTCAGTGGCCTCTCCATTGAAGAATATAAGACCACGTTGAAAATAATCAAGCAAGCTATTTTAGCTACAGACCTAGCACTGTACATTAAGTAAGTTTTAAGCAATACCCTGAGAAAGAAGTCTTGGAAATCATTGCATTGTTTCAAATTTTGACCTCCATATTGAGAAATTTCAAAGCACAAATGTCCTGGCAAAGCTGCTTATCAGACTATGGAGCAGTTTCTTAAAGGTAGCCAAAAAGTCTACTCCTTTGGCTACTTATTGCTGAAAATTACACAATACATAATTATTTCTAATGTTTATCACTGTGTCTCTGAAACTATATGCAAATCTAATAGCCATCTCAAGGTCTTTCTAAGCCATGTTGTCTGAAGATTATATAAGTCATTTGCTTTTCCCCCTTTTCCCTTCCCCTTTGTGGGGACAACTTCTGAGCATTTCATGACTCCTTTATACCATCATCCAAGCTTAGCTGGGCAGAAAGGGGGTTACTGCCAAGCAAGCAACTCTTGTTTCTTTTTAATTTGATTTTGACAGAAGAAGTTTAATGTAGAACTTTGAACTGAGTGATTTTAAAATAAGAGTACACATTAGAGTGGTCTCTGTGATTATGCATTTTCATGATTAAGCTGCCTTTCGAAAAGCTAGAAAATACTTTTGTGCACTTGGGCAATCATAGGTTTTCAGCTCCTAGACTGAGAACTTTGATGCATGCGTGGGAATGAGGGGAGTCAGGGAATCACACTCAGGATTTCCTTCTAACATGAGTCCCTCTCCATCTGTAAGGGATTCGCATTCATGGTTCTAGTCACTCTTAGGAGAAGTAAAAACAAATAGGACAAACACACACAAAAAAATATGCCAGATATCTACTATTATATATCTAAAAGTAACTGCATGTGCTTTTAGAGCACTTTGAGGTTAAGACGAAAGAATACATGTTAATAGTAAACTTCCATTTATTAAAAATAATTGTAGAATAAGGATGATCAAATTAACAAGAATTTTTAAAATAGTGCCTATCCAACCTTTGCAGGCCATATGGGTCTCTTCTTTGAACCCTTATGAAACATACTTTTCATTTTTGGGAATCATATACAATCAGTTTTATTACATAAGTTTTTCTTGAGCCTTGTGTCTCCAGGTAGATATTAAACACTGTTAAAAGAAAAATTCTTTCTTATGCTTTCTCAAAATGCTTAACAATACTGGGCATTTAAGAGGTATTTACTGTACACTAGTTATTATTATATTCACTGAATAATAAGAAATGTTATTTTAAACTTTACCCAGTCTTTGTTTACTTCAGAAGCACTTTACAACTTTATAATTTTTTATCCTATACCATGATATAAATGATTGTTAAACTGAAACCTATAGATCTTATTCTGCCATGCACTTAAAATATCTGAAATCATTCTCAGCATTAAATTTTTAACTCATACTGTTTCATTTTTCATGAAATAACAAATATTCAAGAATTGAAATTACCATTATTTGTGATCTATCATTAAAAATTAGATGAGGTTTAATGTTTTACCCAAAGCAAATGATAAAAGGGGGAAAGTGAGGTATTAAAGATTTGTAAATGTTTTGTTTTTTTTTGTTTGTTTTTTTTCTTTTTTTTGAGACGGAGTTTCGCTCTTGTTACCCAGGCTGGAGTGCAATGGCGCGATCTCGGCTCACCACAACCTCCGCCTCCTGGGTTCAGGCAATTCTCCTACCTCAGCCTCCCGAGTAGTTGGGATTACAGGCACGTGCCACCATGCCCAGCTAATTCTTTTGTATTTTTAATAGAGACGGGGTTTCACCATGTTGACCACGATGGTCTGGATCTCTTGACCTCATGATCCACCCGCCTTGGCCTCCCAAAGTGCTGGGATTACAGGCTTGAGCCACCATGCCCAGCCTGTAAATGTTGATTTTATAGTGGGTTTTTCCCCCATCAAAGATGGGGGAAAAAATTAGACATTTTTTTAACCAAAAATTTACTCCATGCGTCTTTGTAGACCAAAGGGATGAGAGCCTCAGTAATTATTATAAGTACCTTTTTTTATTTTTAATGTTGTAGGAGGCGAGGAGAATTTTTTGAACTTATAAGAAAAAATCAATTCAATTTGGAAGATCCTCATCAAAAGGATTTGTTTTTGTAAGTATGTTTACTTTCTTTAAAGCTGAAGTTTTTTTACCCAATTAATTTTCTCTCTGTTTTTTCTATTAGTTTTTATTGCGATTATTTGTTACAACATGATGATCTTAAAGGCCGTCAGACTTTTCCAGTGGATTGTACAAAGAGTAAATGTGAAATTTACTTGAAAAGAATTGCATTTGCAAATCCAAGTGAATGAATTGTTCCTTTATTCTAGAAAAACCTTTAAAATGTGGTGCATTATCAATATATGGTTATAGGATTCCCTTATTCACTTTCCTAATTCATTGCAATGGAAGAGCTGAAAATATAAAGATTGCAGAAGCAAGATGGAGCTGCAAAATGTTTACTTCTCTTAAAGAAAATCTGAAAAGGTAGAGCAGTTAGATCGGGTCTCTAGACATGGAAGCAATACTATAAAGTCTCTATGACTAAAACAGTTTGATACTGGTGCCAGATCAGTGGAACACCGTGGAAAATTTAGAATTGCATAACACATACAGTATATAATAAAGATAACATTTCCTGACTGGAGGAAAAAGAAAGATGAGTGGATAACCAAATGAAAAAGACAAAATTGGATCTACTCTACAAACTTAAATTCTAACTGAAGCATAGAGTTCAATGTAGAGAACTAAATCATACAAGCACTAAATAAAAATATAAGTGGATTCTTCTATAACCTGGGAGTGAGAAAACTTTCCTAACTATAATTCAACATGCAGAAATAATAAAGGAAAAGACTGAAAAATGTGATTAATCATTCAAAGGCTTTTCCTGTAGAAATTGCCACGTGTTGAGTGAATCAGGATGACCTACTATAATTTCTGATCTAAGACTTTTATCAGTGTGATAACTGATGTTATACTTTAATGGTTAATTATTAGTCCTCGAAGCACTTTCATCATACTGTCACTGAGAATGGAATACCAAAGTGACAAAAATAATAAAATCAGGCAAGTTTTTACACAAAGGTTAGTAATTTTTCACTTTACCAATCTGGAACTAAATGAGGCAGTTTGAGGACAAATTCCAAAAGTTCAAAGGGAAATCGAAAACAGTGATGCTCTGTTATCGGGTAGACTTCTATATAAATTGTTTGTTTTTCTTTGGTCTTTATAAACTCCCATTTCCATTGTTTAAAGGATTTTAACTTTTTTTATTTGTAACTATTTACTGAGGTTAATAACACAAAAGTAAATAGGAGTTGTGGGTTTCTTTTTTTTTTCTGTAACAGGGCAATGCTGATGACAGCTTGTGATCTTTCTGCAATTACAAAACCCTGGCCTATTCAACAACGGGTATGTTGCTTAGTGACAATAAAAATAATTAAAAAGTCAAAATGACATTCTACCCTGCAATCCCACTACTAGGTATCTATCTAAAGAAAAGTAAGTCACTATGTAAAAAAGACACTTATGTGTTAATCATAGCATTATTTATTATATAATAGCAAAGTCATGGAACTAACCTAAGTGTCCATCAAGAACAGTTGACTAGATAAAGAAAATGTGATACATAGGCACCATGGAATTCTTTTTAGGTAGGCATAAAAAGAATCAAATCATGTCCTTTGCAGCAGCATGATTGAAGGTAAAGGCCATTATCCTTAATGAACTATCTCAGAAAAAAATCAAACACTGCACATTCTCATTTACAAGCAGGAGCCAAACAGTTGGGTACACATGGACATAAAGATGGAATTAATAGGCACTGGGGACTCCAAAAGGGAAGAAGATGGGAAGAGAGCAAGGAGTGAAACACTACTTATTGAGTATAATGTTCACTATTTGGGTAATGGGTATACTAGAAGCCCAGTCCCCACCAATACACAATATACCCCTATACCAGATATACACATATACCCTCTAAATCTAAAATAAAATAATTTTTTTAAAAGGTTTTACTCTTAAAGGTAGCTTCTGAAGTATGGAAATTTTTAAAAATTTTGGCTGGGCATGGTGGCTCACGCCTGTAATCCCAGCACTTTGGGAGGCAGAGGTGGGTGGATCATGAGGTCAAGAGATCGAGACCATCCTAGTCAACATGGTGAAACCCCGTCTCTACTAAAAATGCAAAAAGATTAGCTGGGCATGGTGGCATGTGCCTGTAATCCCAGCTACTCAGGAGGCTGAGGCAGGAGAATTGCCTGAACCCAGGAGGCGGAGGTTGCGGTGAGCCGAGATCGTGCCATTGCACTGCAGCCTGGGTAACAACAGCGAAACTCCGTCTCAAGAAAAAAAAAAAATTTAAGTATTATTAAAAACAGATAATTGAACATGAAAAGGCTTTCCTTTTTAGAAGATACATTTGCACATAATATTTGTAAGATGTATGAAGAAAGACAGCATCAACTTTAGCAGAGCAAAAACATTGCTGTTGATAAGTTTTCATTTCAGTGTGATAGGCTGAATATACCTAATTCAAAAATCCAAAATGTTCCAAAATTGAAAGCTTTTTGAGTGCTGACATGACACTCAAAGGAAATACTTATTGGACCAGCATTTTAGATTTCAGATGTTTGGATTTGGGATATTAAATTATACTTCTCACTTACTTGTTTCTTAAGGACATCCCTTTAATGACCTTAGAAATCAGAAGAAGCAAAATTACTTTTCTTATGATTAGCCTTCTAGGCTATACCTCAGCTCTAAATAGGCATTAACAAGTGGAACTTAAAGATTTCTAGGGCTTGTAGATGTAGGAAGTATTGAGAGGCGATGTCAAGAAGGATCTGAACATAGCCTGTTACCAGGAGGCTAGAAAAAAATCCTTCCCCCTAACTAAGTAATTGCTCTATTGTTTTACAGAGGCAGTATAGACTCAGAAAAGTGATGGATGTCCATGCAGTGACATATATATTGTGTTTTTATTTCTCAAGATTTCATTTTGAGTCTTTAATGTACTATTTAGGATTGTTGTCAGCCTGGTGTTGGTCAAGGCTCTGGGCTGCGTAGTCAGGGAGCCTAACAACTCTTCTACAGACTCATCTCATGAAACAGACATATAGAGCAAACAAGATCAAAAACTCATTCTCCATGTGCCAAAGCCAACATGCCATATGCACTCTTTACATACTTTCCTGCCCCATAATAAATAAGACTATGTGCCTATTTCTAACCAGAGAGGAGAACAGAAGAGAAAAGAATGTGTCTTCATATACCCTTTCTCCTGAATTAAACCCTTGTACATATTGTTTTATGGTGTGAAAATAAATGAAGGAAGAAAATATTTTAAATAAAATAAAAGGAAAAATGTTGGAAGCTACTAAAGAGAGAGATTTACAGAGGTGATAAAAGAGTATAATGGAATAGTTAAGAGAGCATGCTTTAGACATGGAGTACTTGTCTTCAGGTATCAAGCTGCTGCTTACTTGCTATAAAATGGAGATGTATATTTCCTAACAAGGCCTTCATTCACAGTCTCTGTTTTAAAGAATGAAATGCTTTTCATTGTCAAAACTGAGTCTGTTAATTATTTCAGATAGCAGAACTTGTAGCAACTGAATTTTTTGACCAAGGAGACAGAGAGAGAAAAGAACTCAACATAGAACCCACTGTAAGTATGAAACCTTGTTGGTAGGAATTGAACTGCATTTTTAAATTGTAGACTCCTTTTTATGGTTCCATGGGATCTTTCCGTAGGACCACAATTTCTCATTTTATTTTTTAAAACTTTTTTCTTATTGGAAGAATTATAAATGTTCATTACAGAAAGCAAAGCCAATAAAAGAGCACAAAAATACTTTTGGGGTCAGCATATTGTATCACTGTTTTTTTGTAATTTGTTTTTTCCACTTAAGTATTACAAACCACTTTTCATTTTAACAAATACTCTTATGTGTTATCATGATTACTGAAATATATGTAGCCATAATTTACCCACTTCCCTTGGTGTAATGTTTGCAATGTTCACTATTACAAACAGCACTGTGATAAATGTCCATCACAGAAGTTTCACTCCTCCTTCTTGGTTCTCACCATGAAAAGAATTTAATAAAGAAACTGTGGCTGACAGGGAAAGGAAGGAGAGATACCAAAAGAAACACAGAGGAAAAAAGACCAGATGTCATGCCTGTACAACTGTCTCCCCATTTTTCTTAGCATTCTACTTGTCTACTCCTTTGTTCACAGTTCTCCTCAGAAGTGTTTCCAGAGCAATATTTCATCTATCATAGATGTTTATCACAGTGCTGCTTGTAATAGCAAACACTGCAAACATGACACCAAGGGAATTGCTGAGGTGCTGAACCTCATTCTTCATTATTTTGTTAGCGTAAATTCCCGAAGTTGTCGCATTGGGGCAAACAGAATTTAAAGGTCTTTGCTACATACTGCCTTTTTTCATAGAGTATGGATCACAAATACAAGTAAAGATTCTTCTCAACCCAATTCTTTTCTTTGGAATTTTTCTTCTAAATTAAACATAGAGTTTTCCTCTTTTCTTCTTTTTTCATACAGTTGCTATCTGACCTTTCCAGGCTAACCCACTGTTTCACCTTTCTAGAGCTAGCTTTCATTATGTTCTTTCAATAAATAAATGCACACAGTGGCTCCCACCTGTGATACCAGCACTTGGAGGCCAAGGCAGGCAGATCACTTGAGGTCAGGAGTTAGACCAGCCTGGCCAACATGGTGAAACCCCATCTCTGCTAAAAACACAAATTAGCCAGCCATAGTGCCGCACACCTATAATCCCAGCTCCTCTGGCGGCTAAGGCAGGAGAATAGCTTAAACCCAGGAGACAGAGGATGCAGTGAGTCGAGATGTCACCACTGCACTCTAGCCTGGACAACAGAGTGAGACTCCCATCTCAAAAAATAACAATAAAATATCTAACTAAATAAATAAATGCAATCTGTGTGTCTGTGTCTATATTTGTATTTTCAGGATCTAATGAACAGGGAAAAGAAAAACAAAATCCCAAGTATGCAAGTTGGGTTCATAGATGCCATCTGCTTGCAACTGTATGAGGTATTTATATGAAAACTACTAGACTTGCTAAACTGGGACCATTATGAATTAGAACCTAAAGTAAATTGAAGAGATTAACAATAGGTGCCTATTTGGGGCTTCTAAATCGTGAAATAAAATTATTAGTATGGTATCTTTTATTGATGAACATGTTTGTATTGAACAAGGAACACATACAAATATCTGTTGAGTGCCTACTATGTGCTCATCTCCAACAAATTGATTTGGGGATGCTAAGAAGAATTAAATGCTAGTGTTAACCTCAAGAAGCAATATGGTATACCATGTATTAGCATTCTTTTCTTAAGTCTGAATTTTAGCCTAAATAAAGAAAAGTAATTTTCCAACTTTTTCTCATTGTCATAATAATGTGGCTTGACTATACTTATAAATTTTTTTCTGAGAATTAAAAGGAGGTAGGTAGAATATTGCAGGTTCCCATTTCCATGTATCTGCTGGCTTGGTGTTTGGTGTGTGTGGGGTTATTGTAGGCAAATGGATTCTCCCAAAAACACCTAATTTATTAGTTTAATGTTTATGACTCAAATGCAGAAAGGTTATCTTTGTTGTTGTCTTTGGATGTTTAAACAGGAAACTGTTTTAAGTTTTAATTATTTGGAAAAAGAACATTTGTCTTGAAGTTATCATAGAATGTCAAACCAGAAAAAAAAAAAAAAAAAAGCTAGAAATTTTCTAAACCCAACGTTTCAGATTCAGTAATCGAACTTGTAAAATTCATCTCCTAACAAGAGAGAATATTAGCCCCAAGCAGGTGGTTAATGGGGGAGGTACATCTACAGCCCAGTTCTCATTCCTACTCCAGGGTTCTCCCCATCAAAATAATGTAATAAAGATCTGTGGCTGACAGGGAAGGAAGGAGAGATACCAAACGAACCATGGAGAAAAAAACACAGGTGTCATGTGCCACTGCTGTCTCCTCATTCTTCTCAGCATTCCAGTTGTTTACTCCTTTGTTCAAAGTTCTTCCTCAGAAGTATAAAGCATATGCTGAGCAGTGTTTCAAACACTTGGACATCTCATTCTTCCCATAACAGATGCATTCCTTATTGATTGGATTAAGAGTTTCTCCATTAAAAATACTAATGGCTCTTTTGATTTTTCTCCATCCCGAAAAAAACAGTCAAGATAGTAATTATATCACCTATTATAGATGTTATCCTTCTGCATTATAATACACACGCACACACACACACACACACACACACACACACACACGGATTCATTTTATTTGACTCTGCTGTTGAAAATTCTATGTGATATTGATATGTATTTCTAACATTATTACAGAAATAGTTATGTTTTCACTATAGAAAAATCAGAGGCCAGGCACGGTGGCTCACACCTGTAATCCCAGCACTTTGGGAGGCCAAGGCAGGCAGATCACATGAGCTCAGGAGTTCAAGACCAGCCTGGCCAACATGGCAAAACCCTGTCCCTACAAAAAATAGAAAAGTTAGCAGGGCGTAGTGGCACGCGACTGTAGCCCAGCCACTTAGGAGACTGAAGCAGGAGAATTGCTTGAGTAGGAGAGGAGGGGGTTGCAGTGGGCCAAAATCACACCACTGTACTCCAGCCTGGGCGATGGGAGTGGAATCCTGTCCTAAAGAAAAGAAGAAAAAGAAAAAGAAAAATTAGAATTACTAAGAAGCAAAAAGGAAAATAAAACCACTTACAATACACTACCCAGAGATAACTTACAGATAGCATATCAATGTATATGCATATGCTTTATGACATTTTCATATACTTTTCATTTAACAATAATTCAATAATTGCCTTTTGGAACCCATAATGTTATTATATCCATATTTTAAGTATCAAATATGTTCCTGCAAGGTTTCTCTTTTTTTTTTTTTTAATTCTGTTGGGTGTTTTCCGGTGACAACCTATTGTTATGTATTTGTCATTGTCAGTGTATCACTATTAGGAAGAAACCTGCAATGAACATTCTTGTGTCTAAATGTTTGTGACACTATAATTGGTACATAATAATGCCATACCGAATTATGAATTAATCTTTATTATAATATAATCCTGGATAAAAACCTATTTAAGTGTATTATATGAGACCATTGCCTAGAAAAACACAAAAACTAAGTAGCTCCCAATACAGTCACACTTAGGGAGACCCAGCTGTACTACATAGAAACAAAATGTCTTTTTTCCCCTAAAAGTGGATTTCACACAGATCTGTCTACCTAGCACAATAATGTTATTTTGGAATGCGTGTGTATGCTCTCTCAGCAAACTACTACTTAATCTGTAGTGTTTTAGAAGAATCATGCGTAAATGATCTGTGTATGTGCGCACACGGCTTGTGAAAATTTCAGCAGTGAGTCTGCTCATGAAATGAGTGTGGGATGTGGCCCTTTGTAACAGGCTGTGGGAGAGGGCTTATTTCCTGGCTTCCCTCTAGTTGTTTGCTTTCTTTTTTTCTTTAGGCCCTGACCCATGTGTCAGAGGACTGTTTCCCTTTGCTAGATGGCTGCAGGAAGAACAGGCAGAAATGGCAGGCCCTTGCAGAACAGCAGGAGAAGATGCTGATTAATGGGGAAAGCGGCCAGGCCAAGCGGAACTGAGTGGCCCATTTCATGCAGAGTTGAAGTTTACAGAGATGGTGTGTTCTGCAATATTCCTAGGTTCTTACACACTGTCTGTATACTGTCTGTATTTGATATATACTTTGCCACTGCTGTATTTTTGTTTTTGCACAACTTTTGAGAGTATAGCATGAAATGTTTTTAGCAGAATATTACATATTTTTTGCATATTTGTTTTATGCCACTGACTGAACTAAAATGATCAACAACATCCACTCTTAGCACCTCGATAAAAGCATTGTTTGTGGTATTTCATGTACTGCAAAGTGTAAGTGGTATTCTTGCACTGAGGTTTTTTTTGCTTGGGGTTTTTAAATAATTGGTTTTTGTGTTTTCTGAATTATCAGTTTTTCAAGAATGTTTGGAATCTTTCCTTTTTCAAAAGTAGGTTAGGAGCAAATTATCATACATTCTGTGACATTTAAAGCCTTTATAGGATAGTGGAAAATGCTGGCTGAGTAGATGTTAAGGAGAAATAATTGTATTTGTCAACAATGTCTTTTGTAAAAAGTTCAGGTATTCTGAAACAAATGGGAAGTACAATGAAACTGTATTGTAAAGAAAATATATTATTTAATTGATTTGCTGTTTTGTGAGAGAACAGGCAAGAGAGAACTTTGTCATTTCGGTGCAGTACATTTTTCTAAAGGCTACCCATACAATCACTTCCATCTCACCTACCTGAAGCAAAGCAGGTGAAACCTTAGGAGATGATCCAGTGACTGACTTTATTGAAGGATAAGTGTGCTCTAGAAATGGAACGGTCATGGATGTCTATCAGAGAAGAAAAATGTCCTGTTAGAGGATATCTCTAAGAGTTTTTTTTTTTCCTTCTGAATTTCCTTTTTAAAATAAAAGTGACAGGAGCATTGATCTAAGTGAGACATGACTATAGATAAGAGAGTACAAAATGAATCTTTTTTCTTCTGTCAGTTGAAATTTAAAGAAAAAAATTAATTATATAAATAGCAAAGGGCTACTGCCAATACTAGAGTAGAAAATGAATTTGAGGGAACAGTGGGTAAGAAACGTTATGTCTGAATAACATTTAGCAGTATTGTGATTGAGAAATTGTCATATTTTGATGTATAGGACAAGTCAACCCCGATCCAGAGAAGGTTGGATGTGAATGCTAAACATTGGCGCTTAACTCGTATTCAGTGGTATTTCCTTCCCATAACATTTAGTATAGTTAACATTTTCTTAGAATTTGAGCCCATTTAACTGGATTAATATTCTACATGTGTGCCCCTAAGTACACATTTATTCAATATTGGAGAAGTAGATAATGAATTAAGCAACTGGTCTAGGAAAGGAAAATTTGTTTCAAATATTTAGGCATGTTTGCATTTGGGGAGAGTAGAAGAAGAGATTTGTTAACTTCTACCTCCAACCCACAGAAAAGATATTTGATCTGAGTTTCTATCACTAATTTGGATAGAAAATTTCTTAGGTATATGGTAATGCAGCATTCTCAAGGACCTTTCACCAAAATGTGTTTCCCATCTTTGTCCCTATTCCCCTAAATTTTACCTAAAATTTAATATGTTCCTTAAGTTTTTAAAATTTTAATTGTGTGTATATGTGTGTGTGTATATATATATATATATATCTTAACATAATGTGACTTTATTTTTATCACTCTGGTAAAAAAAAAAAGAAGCAAAACACATTTTATTGCCATTATTTTGTATTTGGTAAAGACTAATCAAATCTAGGAAGTTACCAACTGTTTAATGCTATATATATTGTTGTATACTGGTATTTTCAGGATATTTTATTTTACTTTTTGCCATACAAACAAAATGTTTAAGGTTGTCCCTTAGTGGCACTGGCATGTAAAATACACAGATTATCACTAAAATAATAGTTATATATACATACAGGTGTATACTTATGCATGCACACATAAATCCTTAGTATAGAAATATTGCATAAAGAATAGCAATCTTTAATAAACCTTTTTATTACATTGTGATTTAGTAGTAATGCTAAAATATGTACTTACACTTTTGTAGTTTGTTTAGTCCACCCTAGTATGTGTCACTGAGAATTTTTTTAAAGACATAGTAGATTGTTTAGAGTGTTTATTTGTGTGTCATTTTAATAAGCAAGAAAATATATTTAGATTAGAAATGGTTTGGTCTGCCTTTGAATAATGTTTATTTTACTAGTTTAGACATTAAAAGAAATTGGGCAATGCCTATTTTATTTTATTGTTGGATATTTTCGTTTATACAGAAGAGTACTTCTTTAAGGCTGGTTAATTGGTTCAAATAAATTTTAATTTCCTTTCCAGTATTCTCTCAAGTTGGAAAAGTGTACATATAGTCCTCCTTCACCCTACTCTGTATTTACATTACCCATAACTAGCAAGAAGTTCTTGTTCTAGATTTTTTTGTTTGTTTCATTATAACAGAGTAACGTGATACCATTTAATTTCAATTTTTAACCAGAAAGTTGCCACTGTTTTCCTAATTTGTTAAAAGATATCTATGTGATTGCCTAGCCTTATATTTTTCAGTAGATTGGACTGTGCCAATCACAATCCTGGGTGGATTTGTGTAAGTCACTTAACCTCTGTGTGCCTAAACAAGTTGTGCTTTTTAAAAAGGAGTTGTGTTTGGGCAAAGTCTTTGTCTTCAAGCAGGATGACTTCAAGCACTCTGCCTTCACAGAAGGCAGCTACTTTATAAGCCTCAGTGGGCCATGGAGACCACTGTCAGAAATGAGGTATTAGTCTAGAGAGAAGGTGATCTATCCCCACATGTTGTTTCTAATGTTGAGTTTCCAAGACTGAACAAAGACTATATATTTATTCAGCTTCACTTGCAGATCACTAGTAACTGTGAGATTTAGAGCTCTTTGGGTACATTGCTTCAAGGCACAAACCCAGGATGATGACATTGTCACCATTATCTCTTAATTATGAAGATAGTTTCCTTTAATAGGAGTAATGGAGACAAGAAAGCATATAAAAATATACTGCAAATATTGGATTCTTGGAGAAAACTATTCAGTCACAGATATATTCTTGACTAGCAGTGAAGTGCCTTTATTTTCAGCATAGCAACACAAATATTAGACCTCTTCCAATTTGATTTACAATTTTTTTGTGTGTTTTTCACCAGATTGTACTCCTAAAACTTAACAGGCCATCACGAGCAATTGTCTTTTGTTTACAAGACTGATTTAAAACAAGATAATAAAAATGCCATCATTATTCTCTCTCATGAACAACTGTAGTCAAAATAAGGTGGCACAATATAACTGTTTTGTGTCAGACATGCATTGACCCACCTTTTATTGAGTCCCTGCCACATGTTAGGTATTGTGCTCAGCCGTGGACAGAGCAGTGACCTTAAGGAGCTCATGGTCCCTGAATGAGGTGCTGGAGAAGAGACTTATCAGCTTCTGATACTGCCAATTTAATGTGAGAACATGGGATGTATTGTATCACTTCAATTTTCATCAATAATACATGTTTTATGCACCTTCTTTACCTGAAACTTAGTAAGAATCTACCGGTGAACAAACATCCTATCTTTCAAGTATGAATCACTTAACATGTTGATAGTTGAAGAACACTTTAAAGAGTTTTGTATTCTTGTATATAGTTTATTTTCTCTATGTGTTAGCAAGTTAAAGGTTACACAGTTCTTCTGGACTGTTAAATTGTGCACAGTTTTGGACCCCTTCTGCTCTACTACAGAGAGGGAAGAAGAAAGTATTAAAGTTCACTTTGCCATTCCATATACTTACCATACGCCTGTGAAAACATGTCTTAATGAATGTTGTTGAAAGCAATGTAAATAGTTGAAAATATAAATTTCTATTACAGTTTAGGAAAAGAAAACCTTATGAGGCATCACTAGCCACTGTTAATAACTATTTGTATTCTTATACCTTTTCAATATATTTGAACAAATATAGTTTCTGGCACTATTTTTATACTAGGAAAAGGACTTACTCTGTATATTATGCTTAGCTTTTAAGTCGTTTTAAATAATCATGAATGTTGATTTCATTTCTTTCCTTTCCTCCATCATGAAAGCCATTTCAGATGACTCTTCTACAACAAAATCACTTTAAATGAACACTTATCCACCTGATTCCTGTATAAAGCCATGAGATGATCAAGGTGGTCTTCCATTGTGCAAACTCTTCACTTGTCAGTGGTTTCCTCATTTTGCCATGCTTTGTAAAAATAAAAAGAATGAACAAGTAGGTATGAATAATGTGTGATTATTCCAGGCCTCTGAATTTTAAGGGTGGGGAATTAGTAGGGGAGTTTGGATTTTTGCAGGGAGAATGGACCCAATAGTTTGAGAGACTTTAATTAAGCTAACTTGTGATCCTATTAGCTGAAGAAAAACATGGTTTAATATAATCCTTTCCTTAGCCTAGACTCTTCTCCATAATATTCTTCCTTACCCAGCAGGTTTGGATTGTCAGAGTTTTTTGCAGTTAACATTTCTTAATTTAGTTATCTGGTAATAGCTAAGGAAATGCCTTCACAGAATCCGACACCACTGTATCTTATGCTTCTAGTCTAGACGTGTGGAAGTATAAATGCAGAATATCTGTTTTCATTATTTTGCCACTAGACAAGCCTTCTTCATGGCGGGAAGAATATCTAGGTTATGTGTAATTCATAAATCTAAAGGAAGAAGTAAACTATTAGCTCATGTAGAACAATATTTTAGATTCTCTGACCACTAGAGAGTGCCAGAGTTTCAGTTATAGTTAAAGAAATAATCTTCCTTCCAGACCATAAAGAACTAATAAAACTGTTTTAAAAATTTTTAGTGGCGAAAGAAAAATAAATGGAAAAAATCAATAGAGAATTTACGGTAAAATAAAAGGTAGGGGGGAATTTTTTTAAAGACTTGATTATTACTTTTTATGCAGTGATCATGTCCTCAAGTTTTTCTCCAGACAAAGTTATAGGAAGTCTCTGATACGTATATTCCATTTCCGCAGACATCAACCCTTTCTGTGGAAAAGGGACACATTTGGCAGCTCTTGAACCTGTTTTGCTCCTGTTAGCTCTGTAGCCTCAGCAAACAAGGATTCTTACATTTGATATGTGGAACTGTCATGCTATGATTTTCTATTCTTAAGGCACATAACATTAAATTAAAAGAAATACTTTGAACTTGAAGAAAATAGTCTTCACAGTTTTAAACTATATTCAGCTTGTAGCTCAGAAAAATGTTTCTAGTTCACAAACCATTTGTTCAAACTAAAAACCCACAAGTTACAAATAGAATCAAAATCATAGTTGTCTTACTCAAAAGAAATATGACTAAATAGCATATGTGATGTCTTTCTTGCTTTCCTCTTTTTAAGTGTGTGTGTGTGTGTGCAAGTGTACACACCTGTGCAGAGGTGTGTTTATGATGATAAAAGGGATTTTAGGCAGTAGCCACAGGAACTAAGTCGGTTCTTTATGTTATCTAACAGCAATTCCAATTTTAGCATTCCTCTTCCTAAACTGGTATCTGAGGGACAGGCTTGCATGGCTAAAGAGAACGACAAAAAAGACTGAACATGAACTATCGTAATAGGGTTGGGTTTGTTTTGTTTTGTTTTGTTTTGTTTTGTTTTGAGACAGGGTCTCACTTTGTTGCCCAGTCTGGAGTGCAGTCACACTATCTTGGCTCACTATAACCTATGCCTCATGGGCTCAAGCAATGTTCCCACCTTATTCTCCCACGTAGCTGGAATCACAGACCCATGCCACCACACTCAGCTAATTTTTGTATTTTTAATAGAAACGGCATCTCGAACTCCTGAGCTAAAGCCATCCACCCACCTCAGCACCTCCCAAAGTGCTGAGATTACAGGTATGGGCCACCACACCAAACCCTCAAAACAGTTTGTAACTTTAGCCTATCTTAATTACTTTCAGAACTGTTTCTCATATTTTCACTTCATATCATTTTTGCCTTACCCTACAGGAGTGTTTTTAGGCTTTATATAGCACTAATCAGCATGTAACTGTAAGAAGCAAACTTCCCCCTTTACCAGCCAGCTCTGAAAGTCAAGAATTCTGACTCACATTTCACTGATCTCCCACGAAATGTGGTCAACAGCTCTACCTCAGCTACAACTGCTCTCTTTCTTTCTCTCTCTCTCCAGAAAAGTCTATAAAAATAGCTACCAAAATTGCTCTTCTGCACCTATGAGAATAAGTAAGTTGGCTGGTTATGGTGGCTCATGCCTTTACTCCTAACTACTCAGGACGCTGAGGAAGAAAGACTGCTTGATCCCAGGGGTTCTAGGTTACAGTGAGCCATGATCCAGCCACTTCGCTCCAGCCTAGATGATACAGTGAGACATTTACCTCTAAAACCAAGTAATTTTAACTAAAGAACAAATAAGTAGATCCAGCGATCCCACTACTGGGTATTTATCCAAGAGAAATGAAATAATGTTAGAGAGATACCTGCATTCCCATGTTTAATGCAGCTATTCACAATAGCTAAGATATGGAATCAAACTAATTGCCCATAAAAGGATGAATGAATAAAGAAAATGTGGTGTATATGCACAATGAAATATTATTCAACCATTCAGAAGAATGAAATCCTGTCATTCGTGGCAACCTAAATGAACCTGAGGACATAATGTTGAGTGAAATAAGCCAAGCACAGAAATTTAAAAACCACATAATCTCCTTAATTTTTGAAGTTTTTAAAAACTGATCTCATAGAAATACAGTGTAGATGGTTACCAGAGGCTGGGGTTTGGGGTCTAGGATGGGAAGAGATTGGTCAACAGATACCAAATTACAGATACATGGGAAGAATAGGTTCTGGTGTTCTATGGTATAGTAAGGTGACTATAGTTAACAACATTCTACTTTATATTTCAAGATAACTAGAGGACAGGATTTTGAATGTTCTCACCACGAAGAAATAATAAATGTTTGAGATGATGGATTGGATCATTACCCTGATTTGATCATTATGCAATATATACATGTCAGGAAATATCATATTGCACCTCATAAATATGTACAATTATTAAGTGTCAATTAAAAATAAAAGCTACAGAAAAGAATCAGTAACTCTCCTTGGAAAATGAGGAGAGGACTGTGCCCCTCATTAGTAACTTTGTTTTTTGGAACCTCTGCTGCTCTTTTTCTACTCTGGCTCCATCCTCTAGAAACATTTGGTTCTCCCATGCACCACCTGAATCACAAAGCCTTCCTAAGCTACCAGCATCTCTCTGCATTCTTTCTTATACTTTAAGGTATGCAACAAATACCTCTGGAGTAAAAAAAAGAATAGATTCCCATTGTTTCTTACTTGACATAAAATTGAATTTTTTATAATGAAGATAATTTTAGTGAAGGGCAATATAAAAATCAATATAACATTTTAAAAGGAATCCTCAGTTGAATAGAGCTGAAATGTAATATGAAAAAACAGACTAAATAATAAAAAAGTCTTTAGGAAAAGAATTTCTGATTCTACTGTGAAAAACAAGTAAGTTGCCAGGCTTTCATTAATAAATTGATAACCAGTATGAAGTTACTCCCAGTGGGAGCTTTTATTGCTAGGCACCAACGAAAATTCATAAAGGCTAAAGGTCAAAAATCTGTGAAGGAGACAAATAACTTCACGCCAAGGGGCAGGATTTTAAAAAATAATAAGCAAACAAGTCAAGAGAAGACATGCATTCATTCACAAATAGTTGGTTCTCTACTAAGTATCAAGCTGGGGTACACTAAATAGGCATGGGCTCTAAGAGTTTGCAATTCAGTGGAGGAAACACATGAGGGTAAACAGGCCATTAGATCTATGCACTCAGGGTAAAGAGCAGAGGGTATTTAATTCAAGCTTGAGCCTCACAGCTTCCTTAAAGATGTGACCTCTGGTTTAGTGAAGTGAAAAGGCAGAAGAATTAGGATATCTGAAGACCTAACAGTAGCAGACTAGAGAACTTGAAACATCTTCCACTACTTATTTACTTACAAAATTATTATACTTATGAATGATGAGTATTAAAAGTATATTTATAAATATTATATAGTTATGTTTTATAAAATAAAGCAAATGACCTTTTACTTAGCTTTTTGAAAGTAAGGGAAATTGTCAGCGGCCAAAACAAAGATTATTAAAAATCCAAGTAGAGAGCATTTGAGCTCATGCTGTGTCAGACTTGGGACAATTTGCAGATCTCTATCATAAAGGAGTTTAACGCCTACCCCAGCTGGCGTTAATGTAAAATAAACAGCAGTGAGACTGGCTTTACAGAAGAGAGTTTATCTGGGAATAGCAGGGAATCGTAGTCAGATATACATGCTACAGTGGATCATAGGTGCATCCAGAGAAGCAAAGGAAGACAAGATTTTTAAAAATAGAATATATTTCCTATTAGCATTTTTATTATTCCCAGCATAATTTATTTTAAAACTAATTTAATGCCTTTTGTCCTATTAAAAAAACTAGCGTGGTTAAATTAAACTTTGCATTGTGTGAAATACCTTAAGGATAACTTTTGAAAGGGAATTTGGAATAACCCAGAAGTTATATTTATTACATATAATTCAAAACAGTATGAAAATTAAGGCAAAATGAGGAAGGTTAAATTCATTTTTTGGAAACAATAGCCTTGGCTACCAGGATTAATAACGAGTGGCATCAGTTCATTAGTGGACAGGCAGTTGCTGGGCAGGCATCCTTATAGATGTAATCGTTGCACAAGGCGTGGTTTGGACAGTCTGTTGTGATTGCTCCTGTAATCATGAAAGCATGTGACAAGGGCCTCCCTTCATAGTCTCCCAGCTCTCTTTCCTTACCTTTGACATAAGTGACTCCATTTTGGTACAAACAACTTTTACACAGAAAACATGGTCTTGAGACCCCAGGAAGCCTTTAAGGAATAACTCTTCAAATTAGGCTGAAAACTCTGAGGAGCTACATCCTCAAGGAATATGTAGGAGATAGGGAGGCAAGAACCCACCCAGATTCACAGGGAAACATAAAGGAAGCATGTCTGTCTTAATCTGGGCGATGGTTAACAAAAAAATTACAACATTGGGTCCATCCTCATATGCACACAGATTTGAGGTTTAAATATGATCTAGAACTACTCACAATAAACTGTAAGCACAGAAAGAAGTCTCAGGCCATAATATCCTCTGTACACCTGGCAAAAGCAAAGACAGAATGTCTTTGGAATAA